CGCGAGCAATTTTTGAAGTTCGACACTCCGCACATCGTCACGCCACGACTAGCGCTGCTCGCACGTGACGACAACAAGCGCTACAACACCTGGTACCTGGACAGCTGCTGCGGCCAGCATATGGTGGGCTCCGAGCGTTACATATCCAACGCCGTCCCCACCCCTGCCGTCACCTACGTCACCGTGGCGAACAACACGCGCCTGCGCGCAAGCGCGCAAGGCATCGTCGTGCTCAAAGCACGCGGGAGCCGCACGCACATCACGCTTAACGATGTGCTGATCGTCCAGAACCTGCGCTTCAACCTCCTGTCCGCCGCACAGCTCATGGATTGCGGCGTCGACCTCAGCACGGACCGCGCGACGCGAGATATCCTGCTGCACTATGAGGCGCGCAACTTCCCCCGCAGGCAGATCGGACGAGCACACTCCGAAAATGGGGTGTACGTCCTGGACTTCCGATATTCACGACTGTAGCGGCGACTCGCACGAGCTCATTGACCTCGTGCCACTGCGCTTTGAGCACATCCACCGCAGGGATTGGAAACACCCTGACGGCAGGCCGTGGGTGCCACATCATCCCCACCCACGCGAAACGGCGCTTCACAACCCCAATCCCGATGGAATCTGCAGGGATTGTCACACGCCGACAACCTCAACGAGCGCGATCGCAGGCCGCGGACTCGCCGCCATCGCTGAAGCAGAGCACAACGCGCCGCCTGAGGAAGGCATGTCGCAGCTCGAACTTGAAATTGCTACCCACGGTGTTTTCGGCACGAAGGAACATCCCCTCATCGGTCCCCCCTCACAGCACCTGCAGAGCATGCTGCGCGGAACAGGGGTCGGGACCTTCGATGCACTTGGGGAGCCGCGCCCCTACACCTACGAGAAGTTCCTGGAGGACTACTCGACTCAGCGCGACCCGAAGAAGAAACTTACCATGGAGCAAGAGGAAGAACTGGCGCGCCGCGAAGCCGAGGAGCTTCGCCAGCAAAGCCTCGCGGAAGCACGCGTGACTTTCGCTTGCGTCGCCTGGGGAGCTCAAGAAGAAGCAAGCGCCTCCAATGAAGGGGGGTGGGGAAGTGCTGGTGGATGGGGCACCAGTGATGGGGCGACACCGGCGGAACCTGGGCCAACGCGAGCGGTGGCTGGGGCGCCATACCTACTGCCGCAGATAGCGGCTGGGGCACTTCCCGCGAAGAACGAAGGGGGGAAGAGGAAGAAGCCGCGGAAACCGAAGCAGCACCTGCAGTCGTTCCTCTCGGTCGTCCCCCGCGTCACATCCTGCTTGCACCACCTCCCGCAGACATTCCCCCGCATCGCGACCCGTGGGATACCATCATTTGGGGCAACGAGCCGTCAACCCCGCGTCGCACTGTCTACGGACCTGCCCCTGAACCACGCCAACCTACGCTCGTCCCTGGAACTATCCCTGGGACCAACATTCCACTCTCTGAAATTTGCGACAGAGAATTCCTGGCGTTGATGCTGACTACCGCGGCAGAAGAGGAAGAAGTGGAAGAAGTAGCAGCAGAACCTGCTCCTGTACCTGACGAAGACCCTGAGGAAGCGCGCGCGCGCTATATGCGCACCTCCGGTTTTCGCGCTGACGATGCACTCTGGCACCAGCGCCTCGGACATCCTTCCCGCGCGACGCTGAAAAACTGCATCGACGCTGGCGTCTTCGCTCCTGGCGCACTCCTGCGCCCTGATGGCTCCGAAGTGAGTGGCGCGACACATCCGCGCAACTGCACCGTCTGCCCCGAAGCTGCGCTGAGCCACCAACCGTTCCCGCTGCTCGAACCTGGAACCAACCGCTACCCCAAGCTGCACAAGGTGTACAGCGATTTCCTGAACGTGGGGCACTGCGGAGTCGACGACGAGCTATACACACTCACCTTCATCGACGCTGGGACGCGCTACGTGTGGGTCGTGAATGTGGAGTCGCGCGACAGAGCCTACGAGGTGTTTCGCCTCTGGCTGCCGCACGCGGAACGGCAATCTGGAAGGGATTTGGCAGTCCGACGGTGCAGCAGAATTTAGGAGCAACCAGATGCAAACCTTCCTGACGCAAAAGGGGATCGAGCATCACATCTCCCTCCCCTACGCGCACCAGCAGCAGGGCGTAGCTGAGCGGACGAACCGCACGCTGATGACGAAGGTGCGCGCGCTGATGAAGCAGTCGAAATTGCCGCCGATCTACTGGACCTACGCGATGCACCACGCCGTACGGGTGCACAACCTGCTTTCGACCACATCCATCACCGGCAACCTGTCCCCGCACGTCAAGTGGACCGGGACTAAGGGGGACACATCGATGCTGCGCGTCTGGGGGTGCATGGTGCAGTACCGCCCGCCAACGTCAACCATCGGCAAATTCGCCAGCCGCGCGCGCTGGGGAATTCACCTCGGCATCAGCCACGAATACAAGGCGTGGACCGTGCTGGACCTCCTCAGCCAGAAGACCGTCCATGCCCGCGACGTAATCTTCTACGAGCGTCTCTTCCTCGACCAGTTCCGCCGCGACGAGGAAACGAACGCGAATCGCGTCTACGCCAACAATGGCCACAGCTACGCAACGCCTGAAGACGAAGCCGCTGCAGCAATCTTGGAGCAGGACATAAGGGGGGAATTCGCGTGGGAGGATCGGCGCAGCGACGACGACGACGACGATAACTCCTCGGGAGGAGGAGTAGGCGGAAGCGGAACAGGCGGAAGCGGCGGAGGCGCAGCACCACCAGCACCTGACCCTGAAAGCGACGACGACGACGTGCAGGAAGTCGTCCCGCAACATCGCCACAACATCGAAAGCGCCGCGCGTCATCGAGCCCCGAAATCCGCGCGAGGCCCTCTCTGGACCACACAGCAAGGAGTGGCGCGAAGCGATGGACGCGGAAATCAAGGCACTGGAATCACGCGACACCTGGGTGCTCGTCGACCGCGCAGCAATCAAAGGCGCAAGAATTCTCTCGGGGAAGTGGGTCTTCCGCGTGAAGACCGCGGCGGATGGAACGATCGAGCGCTTCAAGGCGCGCTGGGTGGTTCGCGGCTATGACCAGAGGCTGTTAAATTGTATTGTGTTATATGTTGGTAGGCTGTAGTGGGGTAGCCAATATGGGGTACAACCCCAACTAGGGTTTCACATTTGTACCCAAACTTCTGCTAGTTCATTCATTCTTGCCTAGTTATTATGAGAGAGGCATGGGATCGACTTCGACCAGACATTTGCCCCAGTCAGCCGCCACACCTCCGTCCGCATCCTGCTCGCCATCGCAGCTGCAAGGCACCTGCCACTCCGTCAAATCGACGTGAAGAACGCGTTCCTGTACGCATTAGTGGACGCCGTGATCTGCGTAGAGCAGCCACACACCTACGGCGAAGGGGATTCGCGTGTGTGTCAGCTGCGAAAGTCACTCTACGGCAGCAGTACCTGCACAACATCCTGCTTGAAATCGGATTCAAGCAGATGCCGCATGATCCAGGGATGTACCGCCGCGACTTCCGCAGCGAATACATTCTCCTCACCGTGTACGTCGACGACCTGCTTTACACAGGCTCAAACAACGAGCTTCTCGAGCAGTTCGAGAAGGCCTTGGCGGGGCGCGTCGACATCACGTGCAACTACGAGGTGAAGCAGTTCCTAGGCCTCAACATCTCCTACGCACCTGAGGCCATTCACCTCTCAGCGGCTAAGTACGCAGAGGAGTTAGGGAAGCGGTTCAACATTTCACCTGCACCCCTCTCAACTCCCTACCGAACCCCCGGACCGAACCACAAACCTGACAACAAAGCCCTATCCCCTGCTGGGATTCAGACTTACCAGCAGCAGTTGGGATGCCTCCTCTTCGCCTCTGTCACCTGCAGGCCAGACCTCTCCTACATTGCGAGTCAGCTCGCGCAGTACTCACGCAAACCAACGGCTGAGAATCTCCTGGACCTGCAGCGCGCCCTTCAATTCTTCGTTTCAACGCCCAAGATTGGGCTGTGTTATTCAACTGCACCAACCCCATCCTTCAACCTCATCGGCTACGTGGACGCCGATCACGCAGCAGACCCCGACAATCGACGGTCCAGGACCTGTTCCGACTCGAGCCATCGGGACCAATCTCCTGGAATTCACAGAAGCAGGAATTGGTTGCCCTGTCATCTGCCGAAGCGGAATTCATCGCAGCAACCGCAGCAGTTCGCGAAGGCCTCTACCTGCAGGAACTCCTGCAAGAGGCGAAAATTCCGACTTCGCCGACCTTCCGCCTTCACTGCGACAACCAGAGCGCGATTCGTATCGCGAACAAACCTGGTTTCGTCAACCGCACCAAGCACATCGCGCTGCGGTACTTCTTTGTGAAGGACGAGGTGGACAAGGGCAAGGTCAACTTGACCTACTGCCCGACCGGTGACATGGCAGCAGACTTCCTCACGAAGCGACTGCCACGTCAGCAGTATCAGCACTGCTCCGAACTCAGCGGCGTGGTCAAGCAGGTCAAGTCGAGCTACGGCCAGGAGTGAAGGGGGGTGTTACGAATAGTAATATTTGATATTACTGTGCACTCCTCACCGCAGCAAAGAGAAGCACGCAGTAGCGAGAACGAACGCGAAGCGTCAGACGGTTGGAATTGACTCGAAGCGTCAGACAGTTGGGACGCATCTGGACCGTCGGAGCAGACGGCATCGGGCAGCTGCAGGCAAGGTGGTTTTGGCGGGAACAGTTACGAAACTGTACGCGCCGCACGGTTGGGGATGTATTTGAATAAGGGAATGTACTCCTTAGAGTACATGGCTAGTTAGGTCTTTTCGTATTCCATTGTACTCTTATTTATATCACCTTGTTTGCATGTTTTTATTATCTCAAGCATTTACATTCACTCTGCTATTGAGGTCAAGGGCCCACCAACTATAACACTGCGTGCGAACCTTCCTGGGTAGATCCCGGGCTACGATCAATCTCTGATCTCAGCAACATTTGGCGACTTAAGCGAAAACAGGTAACCCGAAATGTTCGAATTTTAATTTATAAAAGGGACACGCCCTAAGCGTTCCTCACATGCCAAAACCTGAGGTTCTGAAAGCGATGATGCCTGCTGAACATCCTGTAAAAGAGGATAAAAAGTGGGTGAAAACATCTTTTCAATTGTCGCTCAAGGGTACAGCGAATGAGGTGGCGTATTGATACCCCAGATCACATGTACTCACCAACGAGGTATCGACAAGGATGGTTGCGTGTGAAGCATCCAGGGCAGCTGTAGTAGTAGAATGCAGCAGCACACCCAATGGCATCGTGTCGTCCAGTAGGAGTGAGGGGAGAGGCTGCAGGAGGTGTGGGAGAAAGGAAAGCATTCTATTGATGCTGGTTTGTGAAACATTCAAAAAGCACCCAACAAGCACCCCAAGACACATATGGTACCAGAATGCAGCAGCACCTCGAAGGCATATTGAGGGGTTGCGTACTGTACTTTTTAAGACGTCTCAAAGTTCAACAACCCCCTCAATGCAAACGTTAAGCCACGCTTCACAGCCTCACTCTAATCCCTGGGGGGTTACCTGACTGCCTTCAAGGGTGGACGGTAGGAGGAAGAGGGAGAAGGAGCGAGGTTCCAGCTTAAGCAGTTGAGCAATGAGGGGCCGCATTTTAGAGGCCTGTGATCGTGCATTTCAGATGGGCATGTGAAGTGACGGGAGGATATATTTCAGTTAATGATCGGCAAAATATTGTAAAGAGAGAAGAGACAAGGGAGTGGTTGAAATAAAGAAAGTGCAAGCGACGAGCCCTTACTGTTGTGGACTGAGGAAGCTTCTTGGTGACCTCCTTGGCCGTGCTGGTACTGCCACTTTTAGGAGCTATCACTCGGAATGTGATGCCTGGAAGGAAAGGAACAAATGAGCCCAGGGAGGGTTGATGGGAAGGAGTGTATGAGTAGAATAAGAAAGACGAAGCATAGAAGAAGACGGAAAAAACACCAAGAAAATGCTTCAGCGATAGAAATACGAGAGAGGGGAAGGAACGCCGGGAGAAGGGGCGGTTGCTAAGAGGAAGAGCCTGAAGGCTTACTGAGGAATGAAGAACTGCTGGGGCGATTTGTGGCAGTAGCACCGTCACCAAAATTGCTGCCAGCACCGGCAGCACCGGTAGCAGCAGGAGCAGAGGCAGCAGCAGCTGCGGGAGCATTGGCGTAGAAGCCCGGGAGGAGCTTCCTTCGCTCTGATACCAAATCGAGACCGTGCTTGGCAAGAAGAGCAGGCAGGGCGGGGTGGCCGGCACATACGAGTTGAGGGAGGGACGTGGCGTGGGGGAGCGATCGGATGGTGTGGGAGATGTAGCATATCTCTGCATCCAAGCGCTCCCTGGGAAGGATCTGATGCACATGCATAAGCATGCAGGCACGCAAACAGGCATGGAAGCATGGACGAGGTTGTCAGGATGGCATGGACGATGTAGCATATCTCTGTATCCACGTGCTCCCTGGGTAGAATCTGGTCTTGTGACATGGGGACATTATGCATCATGCATTCATGCACGTATATGCACACAGGGTTATGCACGCAGGGATATGCATGCATCCAAGTGTTCTCTGAGTTTCATCATCTCTCGTCCTCCTGATTCTGGGATGTGTAAAAGCTCACCTGAACACAATTGAGCTTCTGAATAGACCCAATTCGCGCAATCACTCCCATCCTCCCCTCCTCCGTTACCCCAAACCCAAACTCACACCTCTCCATCCTCCCACCCTCCTCCCCATCAGCAGCAGCAGCCGCAGCCGCAGCAGCAGCAGCACCGCCACTGCCAGGTGTCAGACTCCCATTCGCTGCCTCTCCGGCCTCTGTCCCATTGCCATTGGCTTGAGCACTGGTTGAGGCTGGCGTTTGATTGGCTGAATGCAATCTGGGCACATAAGGCTTGTGGGAGAGAACGAGCTCCTGGCATGAGAGAAGAACAGGGGAGAGACATGGGAAGTTACAAAAAGAGGGGAAAGATGAAGGGAAGGGGAGAGACCAGGGGAGGGTAGAAGCATGATCAATTCAGTATTGTCACCAGGGGAGGGTAGAAGCATGATCAATTCAGTATTGTCACCAGGGGAGGGTAGAAGCATGATCAATTCAGTATTGTCACCATGGGAGGGTAGAAGCATGATCAATTCAGTATTGTCACCAGGGGAGGGTAGAAGCATGATCAATTCAGTATTGTCACCAGGGGAGGGTAGAAGCATGATCAATTCAGTATTGTCACCAGGGGAGGGTAGAAGCATGATCAATTCAGTATTGTCACCAGGGGAGGGTAGAAGCATGATCAATTCAGTATTGTCACCAGGGGAGGGTAGAAGCATGATCAATTCAGTATTGTCACCAGGGGAGGGTAGAAGCATGATCAATTCAGTATTGTCACCAGGGGAGGGTAGAAGCATGATCAATTCAGTATTGTCACCAGGGGAGGGTAGAAGCATGATCAATTCAGTATTGTCACCAGGGGAGGGTAGAAGCATGATCAATTCAGTATTGTCACCAGGGGAGGGTAGAAGCATGATCAATTCAGTATTGTCACCAGGGGAGGGTAGAAGCATGATCAATTCAGTATTGTCACCAGGGGAGGGTAGAAGCATGATCAATTCAGTATTGTCACCAGGGGAGGGTAGAAGCATGATCAATTCAGTATTGTCACCAGGGGAGGGTAGAAGCATGATCAATTCAGTATTGTCACCAGGGGAGGGTAGAAGCATGATCAATTCAGTATTGTCACCAGGGGAGGGTAGAAGCATGATCAATTCAGTATTGTCACCAGGGGAGGGTAGAAGCATGATCAATTCAGTATTGTCACCAGGGGAGGGTAGAAGCATGATCAATTCAGTATTGTCACCAGGGGAGGGTAGAAGCATGATCAATTCAGTATTGTCACCAGGGGAGGGTAGAAGCATGATCAATTCAGTATTGTCACCAGGGGAGGGTAGAAGCATGATCAATTCAGTATTGTCACCAGGGGAGGGTAGAAGCATGATCAATTCAGTATTGTCACCAGGGGAGGGTAGAAGCATGATCAATTCAGTATTGTCACCAGGGGAGGGTAGAAGCATGATCTTCAAGATGAGATTGGAGCATTCCGAAGACTTGTGGGAGAGACACCCATACCTTGAGGTTCGGAACCAAACCACCGTACCTCGAGGTTCGGAACCACCCACCATACCTCGAGGTTCGGAACCAACCACCATACCTTGAGGTTGGGGCATGCGATGGCTAGGGCATCGATGGACGCCCATTCACTCACGTTGTTGTCAGCTGAATCGGAAATGGGGTGAGACAAGAGGAGTATGCATACAGGGAGCATTTCAGGGACAACACTGGAATCAGACTTATCATTTGAGTTCTTATGATTGATAAGCAAAATGCATACCTAACGAAAGATGGTGCAGGTTATGAAAGGTAGAGGTGTGTATAAGCTTGTTTTGATTTTTTTAGGCGCCTCAAAACCGATGCGATTTTTCAGGCGCCCAAAAAAAGGTGCGTGCCTAAAGAGAGATGCTGCAGATTATAAAAGATCGAGGCGTGGGCAGCTGCACCATCATTCCCAGGGATGCTGGAGATCTGATTCCCTGATAGCAGCAGCCACTTCAAGCTGCCCACAGGCATGAGAAGAAAAGGGAGTTATTGGGCCACTTATGTGGATTGAACGCTCTTGAGCCGTTCAAGAACCACCACACGAGGAAGCACGGGAGAATGCAAGCGCTGACAAGGGAGTTGCCCGATACAGGGTGAACTGTAGCAGGCTGATTGATGCACAACAATGATGGTGACGGTGCTAAAGCAGGAGTGGCAGCAGTGACACTCACGAGGGTAGCGCTGAGAGGAAGGAGACTTGAGCCCAGTCAGCAATGCGATTGTTGGATAGATCTAGGTAGGTCAGGTGCTATGAGGGGTGGATGGGAGTGGGAGGTTGGGAAGAAAGGTGTGGGCAGAAAGGTATGGCCAGAAGGGGTGGATAGGAGGGAGTGAGCAGGAGGGGAGAACAGGAGGAGAGAAGCTGGTAAAAGGAGGGGCATGTGGGAAGATGCAACTATGTGCCACTGACTGACTTTTGAGTCGACTCATATGAAGAGGGGCATGTGGGAAGATGTGCCACTGTAAGAAGAGAGAGAGCAAAAGTGGGATTCTGAGAAGTCTCAAGACTCAGCATTAGCGCTCCGGGTGTAACTTCCAGCTACTCACCTGAAGGCAGTCCAGAGGAGGTTGACTGGCTTTTGAGGCGCCTCAAAAGAAGTCTCAAGACTCAGCATTAGCGCTCCGGGTGTAACTTCCAGCTACTCACCTGAAGGCAGTCCACAGGAGCACGAGCGACATCGGCACCACCGATGGGTCGCAGCTCTGCAATCCCGTTCTTGATCAGAACCAAGGTCTCCAGGAGGGGAAGCTGCCGGGAGATTTCCTCCACCTGGATGTGGAGTTGAAGCAAGGAGATTGGAAAACGCGGTTGCTTGAGTTAGTGAGGGAGATTGGTAAGCCAAAAGAGATTGGTAAGCCGTTTGAGGAGAGGAGAAGCTCGAGAAGGAGTTTGGGAAGGGGATTGGGGCTGGAAAAGTATAAAACACATTCAAAGGTGCTCCACACTCCTGCGGCAAGAGGAACAAAGAAACAACTTCAGCCATGCCCCACTCGCTCAGTCACTCCCCATTCATTCAGCCATGTCCCACTCTCCCAGCCATGTCCCACTCTCCCAGCCATGTCCCACGCGCTCACCCATGCCCCACGCGCTCACCCATGCCCCACTCGCTCACCCATGCCCCACTCGCTCACCCATGCCCCACTCGCTCACCCATGCCCCACGCGCTCACCCATGCCCCACTCGCTCACCCATGCCCCACGCGCTCACCCATGCCCCACGCGCTCACCCATGCCCCACTCGCTCACCCATGCCCCACGCGCTCACCCATGCCCCACGCGCTCACCCATGCCCCACTCCTTCAACTGCGCCCCACGTACCTGGGCCCACGTGACCCGTGTGTTGCTCAGCCCAAGCTTCCTCAGCCCAGCCAATGGTGAAACGGAGAGCGCAGAAGGAGGAGTGGATTTAGAGGAACCAGCATAAGAAGACGATGATCCAACAGGCGAAGGGAAGGCGAGTCTGGAATGGCCAATGTCCAGGGCTGTGAGACCCCGCAGTTCCTCTCCTACCCTCTGCACCTCGTGCCAGGTGTTGAGCAGGTGGTATGACATGTCGAGCTCTGTCAGGGCTGGGGGAGACACACAGAGGGAGCAACATGCGGAGAATGCGTGGGGGGTGGGAGGCCTGGTGGCAATTCCGTTCCTACCCTCTGCACCTCGCGCCAGTCGCGGAGGAGGTGGTATGACATGTCAAGCTCTGTCAGGGCTGGGAGAAACGAAGGGGGAGAAACACGCGGAGATAGAGAGGGCGCGTGCGTGGCGTCTGTTGCGTCAGTTCCAACCACTCCCCCCTACCTTCTGCACTTCGTGCCAGCTGTTGAGAAGGTGGTATGACATGTCAAGCTCTGTCAGGGCTGGGCGGAACGGGAAAGAATAAAAGTGCAGAGACATATGCGTGGGTGTGACTGTGAGGCCTCGTTACAGCTCCTGCCCTACCCTCTGAACTGCACCTCTCTGAAAAGGGGAAGCGGCAGCACAAGCAATAAGCCCTCAAGCATGTACCACACGCTTGGCAAAAGGGAAAAGTAGTAGGCAGGCACTCACACGCAATAGCTGCCACCTCCCCTGCAGCTCCCACTGAACCCACAGGCACTTCCGACACGTTTGCAGCCTGAAGACGAGACAACCACATCCCGTTTCTCTTGGGCGGCTCGCCCTTGTCCTCTTCCCTGCTTTCTCTTCCACCCGATATGCCCCCATCCGTTTCCATTAAATCGCCCTGAGTCCCCTCTTCCTCAGATCCCCTCCCTCCTCCAAATTCTTCTCTATCAGTCCCCGGCACAGCTGTATCGGTTCCTTCTCCAGCCTTATCTGCTCCACTCCTATTCGCTGGAGCAGAGACGAGTTCGATCACCATGGCCCTTCGCCGGCCCAGAGCCCTGTAAATGGGCTCCGCTGCAGAGTGGATCGGTATAAGATATGCGAATATGCAGATGCTACGTGAGAAAGGAACGCTGAATACGTCAAATCAAATGGATATCCACCTTGGAATAATGGCCTGTAATATAGCAACAAGTATCGATGCGCGAAATGGGGGTCGTTTCTCAATGCGAGAAAGAATACGCACCTTTATAGTCCTCCCCGCTTGTGTTATAGCGGTCCAGCAATGCATCACGCAGAGTGACCCCTCCAGTCAGCTTCTGCGGTCGCACAAACGATCCGGCCGGCGTGCCAGCAGGGACCATTTCGCACTGAAAGTAACGTTTCCCGGTTACCACTCCGTCATGCTTTCCTCGCGAAGGATCGTCCCACTCTACGCCAACCCACTCGCCCTTGTGACCGTCCACGGGTCCGACGTATCGCACGGTGCCACGTGGCGCGTAATGGTGGCCCTTTTCGGGTTCCTTAAGAGCTACTCGCTGGCCGAGAATGAACTGATCTTGAGAAGGAGCTGACATCATGGTTCAAGACCAGGAGATTCAGCGTGGAAAAATGGTTTTAAAAGCTAGTCCAATTCTAGTGCTTCGGGACTAGAATGGGAATGTCGGCCAAGGTTTCAAGGCCTTCTACGGGAAGACGAGGTTACAAGATGATTCTTAATGCGTCTAGAATAAGGTGACGCCGATGCGTCTAGTGGTGTGGATAAGTTTAGGGTCCACGAGGACTTGCAAAGAGGGGCTCGTTACTTCGACTGGCTTATCCGACAATAATACGGGTGAAATGCGGTCAATGCCTCTCGGATCTGTCTGTTTGGCAATCGGCGGGGTAACTTCTATGGTGGCTTTTCTGTCATTCCTGAATGCTTTCGCCGATTCCGCCTTGATATTCTCTTCTTTTGATGAATCTGGATTCCACTTCAGGGTGACTCCACTTCACCTTGAACTTTGCCGTTGATAGATCTCATGGACGTAGGAGGTGAATCCAACGGACATGTATTCCGTGCTCTGAATCGTACGGACGAGATTTACTGCTCGACTGACCAACAATTGAGACTGATCCACCTTAGGGCGCGTTTTTTTTGGTGTAGAAGTTCAAAAAAAGGTAGAACTTTGCTGGTAACCATCTTCGCCAATTTCGTTAAGAGCTGTTGACGACGATCGTGTGTCCAAGCTCAAAGTTGCCGAAACAGAAGGACACTGAACTAGGGTCGACCTCGCATTCGACTATCCCCGAGCACTTTTCTCCAATCGTGTGTTCTTCTGCCCACGCACGAAGAAGCTGCGAGCTTCGCGATGGTTACGAACAACGTCGCGCCAGGTTACCAAAGCTGAAAGTGTTAGCGAACTCCACTGTATAGACAGGGTAACATACGAAAGCTGGGCGCGACTCGGGTTTTACTGTACAAATTCGACCTCTGAAAGTCGAGCATTTCTTGTGCCATGTACTCCTCGTCAAGGTGAACACGCGACTCGACAAATGAATGACGCCCCCTTGCTCCGCTTCGTGCTCCCCGCGTCGTCTCCGTCGCCCCCCCCGCCGCCTGCCCCCCTCTTCAGACCCTGCTTCGTGGCCTCCATAGGTTGCGCATGGCCGGCGTCGTTGGCCGACGGCGACGACCCACGCCGAGCTTGGGTCGCCACAGTGCCGACCATCTCGGTCATTATCTTCAAACCGGAGGCGAGGAAAGACTGCTGCGTGACCTCCGTCACCGCCTTCAGCAGATCCTCCTTGAATGAATTCAGGAACTCTTCCGGCAAGGCCTGCGCTGGGGTGGTCGGCGGCGGCGGCTGCACGACGAGGCGGGGAGACACGGCGGCTGCAATGTTGGTCTGCGCGGCGCCGATGTATTTTATGAACGTCTCCTCCAAAGCCTTCCTCGCCTCACCCACCTCACCCGTCACGTGGTCGGCCAATTGGTCCACCGCGGTCGCTCGAGCGACCGCCATTCGTCCGTTGGGGGCGTCAATATCCAGCAGCATCTGCCTCGCTAGCTCGGCAAACCTCTTGCCCGATTCAACTGCGTTCTCCAGGTTGCTGGTGAGGTCCTCGGTGATTGTGGCCGCCATGGTCGACGTGGCCTCTTTGAGGCGCTCCACCGATTTCCGGTCGGTGTCCGCAACCTGGGCGGTCAATGCCGTGAGCTTGTCGAGGATCCCAGCTACCGCCGCCGCCAAGCAGTCGACCCGCCCCGCCTGATCACCGAGCTGCCGTTGCAAGCGTGCATTGTCGGCACGCAATTGTCGGTTCTCCGCACGCAGCTGCTCGACGACGTCCGGCATCGCCTGCCGACCAACTGCGGTGGAACTTGGATGACCGCTCACCGCCTTCTTTTTCCTGGACCGCTCCCCCCCGGCCTTCTCTGCGGTAGCATCGGTATGCATTTCCACGCCCGTCTGCTTCGTCGCCGCGGCGAAATCCCCATCTTCGTCGGCCTCGAGGTCGACAACTTCCCTAAACCCTTCGCCGACAACGACCATCCCACTCCCCCCGTGAGCCGCCTCCTCGCCGACCTCCTTGCTGGGTTCCGCTGTCGCCCCCTTCCCCTCTCCTTCGATTTCCGCCGATCTCCCACCCGTTTCCGCCGCTCCTTCTGCAACGTTCCCCTCCGCCATTTCCACGTCCACCTCTTCGTCATGCTGCTCCTCTTGCTGCTCGTGGTGCTGCCTCTCGTGCTCCTGCTTCTTCTGCTCCTGCTGCTCCTGCTCCTCCACCGACTCCGACTCCGACTCCGACTCCTCCGAGCCCCCCTCATCCTCACGATCCGCCTCACGACCCTGGACCCCATCATCATCCCCATGACTAACCTCGTCCCTATGCTTCTCCTCGGTCCCGGCCACCCCATGTCCTGCTGCCGCATCGGCCTCGTCGACGCCGCTACCCGGCTTCCCGACCGAGGTGCCACGCGCATCAGCGACGGCAGGGGCGACACCGCCAGCTTGGGGCGCCGACTGAACCTCCTCGCCGTCGTCGTCACAGACGTCGGCCGCAACTACGTTTCGGCCCGACCGTATGAGCGCGACCTGCTTCTTGATGAAGGCTACCATCTCAGTCCGCAGCCCCTTCAACCCCGCAACAGCGACCTTGTCCATGCTGGTGGCACTGCGACGGAGGGCGCCGGCCAACCGATCCTTCCGCCTCACCGCCCAGAGCAACGCGCTCATTGCTAGCAGGCCGGAGCCCGCGTCCCCGTCCCGGACGGTGTCGGGCACTTTCTGCACACAACACAGGAGAGCGCTGATATGAGCACCGAGATCGGCAGTCGCATCTCGCAAGGACGAACGGCAGTTGCATCGCGCAAGGAATTGACACCAAACGTACGAAACTCACATCTCGAAGGGGTTCGTCGCAGTCGGCGAGCCTCGCATGCACCTCCTCCTCGGACGGCTTCGCCCAGTCCCATTTCCTACCTTCGCGCCGAAGCTCGGCCATTACAGCCGCCCGGAAAAACCTGCAAAGCATGGCACAGACGGTCAGTTAGCACGGTGCACGCTAAGCATTGACAACGCAAGCGGCGTCGACTACACTATTGAGCTCACTCCAGCACGCGTTTCGCCTCTTTGATGTGCCACTCCTTCACAGTCTGCGGGTCGGCGTGCCGGATCGAGGTCCTGATCAACTGGCCCGATGCCTTCAACAAGTCGCCGGGGCACAGGATGATAATGACGCTGCAATGTGTTCCCGGAAGCGGTGCGATGCTGCACAGACAATGGACGTCGACATAGATCAGAACACATAATCGACGCAGGTTGCACCACACGCGCGACGACCCCGAACACCCTCACCTCGATATCAGTGGGATAACCGCCACGTCGGCGTCAAAAACCTTCGCGAAGACGGTATGGTCGTTCTGACCCATCGCCGCCCTAAGACGGCCGACTCCTATCGACCACAGCCGCTGGTCCTTCTCCGTTCCGCGCAACCATGCGTGCCTGCACGCATGCATGATCAGGAGGAGTGCGTGAGGATGTGGTCGGGACGCCGGCAGATACTACGGTTGCGGCAATAACACGACGGGTCGGGGATTCGACGAGAGCCGAATGAATATGGCACAACGCATCGCCTACGCCGACCAGACACCTTACGTCGGCGCCACCGATGTGATCGACATCCCTAATCCCTAACCCATGAGTCCGTCGACCTAAAAGACGGGTATTATGAAACCACGCTAGGGCTATCACCAGCATGAAATAACGACGCCGACATCCCCATACGTCACTCACTTGAGGCCGAGTCCCAAGCAACGGGCGTTAAACTCTAGCATAGGGTTTGTCAGAACGGCGTAGTCGTGTTCCTCGAACTTGGATGTGAGTCCTCTACCGACGCTTAGATACAGGGGGAAGTCGCGCGAGGTCGGCGTCGCTTCGTCGGCTTTCTGGTCGGCCGCCATGGCGGGAGAGCGAGGATGCTATGCTACGGGCTAAGGGAAGAAACGGTGGGAGAATGGAAGGCGCAGAGGTGGGAAAAGAACATGAAAGAGAAACGAGAACGCGAAAATGAAGGGCCAGGCCACCTCCGACGAGGAAAAGCCAGGCGGAGCCTCGCAGGCCCGGTTGAGCGTCGCCCAGGGGGCCGTGGTCCCTGGCTCGGCAGGGCTCGTGCACGGGTGGCGTGGCACAAGTGCACCCTCGCCGCCGAGCCAGCAGGTCGACGTCACGTCCCCTGGCCTCGGTCGGCCAGGGGACGCAAATTCGCATGCACGCGGTGCGACGTTTCGGCACCACGTGTCGATTTCGCAGCGGGTCGCGAAAAATGTGCACCTTGGTGCGAGCGACCCAGAGGTTCGCTCGATTTTCGGCGGGTACGAAATGTCGCATGCATAGAAAAAACGATGCGAAACGACGGGCGGGCACGTGGCGTCACCGCAACGGGTCGCGAAATCGCCGATCGTCCCGAGGGGAGCCCCCGAATTTCGCACGGGCCTCGCCTGCCCGTACGGGCAGGCCGCGATGGGTTACTAGGACCTCGCGGGCAGGAGGGACGGGTGGGCTGCCTTCGCGCCGGGGTTACTTTCCCTCACGCGAGCTGTCGCCAGCTCGCCGCCCCCACCCGGTAACGTGGGTCGCTGTTCACTTCCGGGGGGGGGGGGGGGGTTTGCGGGGCGGCGGTCGTGCGCTCGGCCCGGCCCCGGGCCAGGCTGGCGGGCCCGCACGCGCGTCAGTCGCCCGCCTCGTCGGGCCCCCTTCCGTCGACCCCCCTCGTCGACCCTGGCAATTCGGCTCCGTCGACCGAATTCCGCTGGGATCTTCAGGAGCGCGGGAAACTCGGCTCAAACAATGTCAGACCCGCGAGAATCTCTAAGGGCGCGTGTCTTTTGAAATCTAGGCCAAAGTTCATGTTCTCTCGTCGCCGGCGACGGCAGCAAGAAGGCCGGAGAAGGAGGGGGGGGGGGGATGGAGACGATTCGGCGAGCGCGAGGCAGACCAAGGGAGCGGTTGGTTCTCGCGTCGCCGGCGATGGGAGCAAGGGAGCCGGGGAAGGCAGTTCGGGGAAGCAGTCGGGGAAGAGCGTGCTCGACATGCTCAAGAAGCACTGGGCTGGGGTTCGAGCGGCCAGCACTGATCAGGGTGGTGGGGGTCCCGCCGACGAGCATGCCACTGATGACGCACTGCCAAGGGCTCCGCCTTCGGTCGCCGATAAGCCACCACGACAGGGTAGCGGTGAAGAAGGGCTGCGCGACAAGGAGAAGGCGGCCGCAAAAACGGCCCCAGCTGGCCAGGGCCCGAAGACAGGGGTCGCGGTGGCGTCAGCGGTTCCTCACCAGCCCCCAGCTGGTGCACGCCCTCCGACCGGACCGTCTGCCGGGCGACCTGCCGACGTCCCGCGCTCTGCCGACGTCCCGGCTGCCGACAAGGCTGGCCGCGCGGGGAAAGGGGCGGCAGTTGCGGACGCGCTCAAGGAGCAGCTCAGGCGCCTAGCCGGCCACAAGGCTGTTCAACAGCCCCCCGCTGCTGTCGACGCCCCATCTGCCAGTGTCCCAAAGTCGCCGGTCGTCGCCGCCCGTGCTCCTGCAGACCCAAAGTCCGCGTTGCTGCGCGCCCAGTTGGGCGCACTAGCGTCGACTGCGCCAACTCAGCAGGCTTCTGCCTCCGGCGCTAAGACGTCGTCGGCAAAAGTCGCACCACCCACCCCTGTGGCAGCTGAGGTTGAGAAGGCGGCGGAGAAGGGCGTTCGTGCCGCCCTTGCCACCGGCGGCGGCCCCGTCGAGCAGGCGCCCCCCGATGCTGATATCGCTGCCATACAGGCCCACCTGGATGCTGCCAATCCCCGACCGCTGGCCATCTCCGACACGGCACATGTGGAGCCTTCGGCGGGTCTCGTCGGCAGTCCAGCAGAGCCGACTGCGACCGGTGATGCTGTCGGCGATGAGAAGGCGAAACGGAAGGGGAAGGCGGGCTCACAGAGGAAGACGCGGGAGAAGTCGGAGGCGAAGGCGGCGGATAGAGGGAAGGGGAAGGCGGCTGAGACGGCGGCTGACAAGGATGGAGGCGGCAATACGGGGGTGAAAGGGAAAGCGGGGGAGAATCAGAAGTCGCTCGGCGAGGGTACGTCGACGGGGAGGAAGGGGAAGGACAAGTCGGTAGGAGAAGGTGCGTCGACGGGGAGAAAGGGGAAGGAGAAGGCGGTCGGCGATGGTTCGTCGAAAGGGAGAAAGGGAAAGCGGAAGGCGGCGGAGGAGGATGTCGAGGAGGTGGAGGACGTCGAGCAGGAGGAAGAAGAAGAGGCGGAGGAGGAGGTGGAGGAGGCGGATGAGGACGATGAGGAGGAGGAGGAGGTGGAGGAGGAGGAGGAGGAGGGGGGGAAGAGCAAGGAGAGGCGGGGTCATGGCATCCGACACGATACCTCGGGCGACAAGCTAGGATGGGTCGGCGAGATTAAGGTGCACGGCATCAATCGATACATCGGCAAGTCGCGTGAGAAGATGGAGCTCGCGTACGTGCACTCCATCGCGTTCGTCGTCTACGACGGTTTCGTGAGCAAGGTGCTCATGAACGAGCTCACCGTCCTGGACAGCGCCGAGTTGGAGAGGTGGAAGGAGGTGTGGGAGGAGGTCAGGATCTTGCCGACCGGGATGTGGACGGTGATGTGGGCCCGGGGAACGCTCCTTCCAAAGACACGGTAAGTCGGCAATCCTCCTACCCAAAGTCGATGTCGTTGTGGTGGTCACTAATGTTCGCCCTGTTTGTTGTGCTGGCGTGACAGGCTGAATGAGATCCTCGACAAGTATCGACATTACAAGACCACTGGCGATGCGCTGCACGCCGCGCTCCTGCCAGCGATATGGTACCCAGTCGATCCCGACACCGAGGAAGGCCGAGAGAAGTCGGCGTCCATGCTGTCCGCGTTGATTGGCCGCGTGTCAATGTGCGCTGCGTATGGGAAGACCGCTGCGACAGCGGCGAGAAAGGAGGGAGACAGCGACGAGAAGACGGATATGGCGGCATGGGCGTTAGGAGCATCCGCATGCGCTGTGTGGTGCTTCGTCGAGAACGGCGATGCCCAGGTGGAGGATGCTGTGGAAGAAGGGAAGGCGGCGGCGCTTGTGGGCGGAGCGAGCCAGGCGACCGCCGATGTATTCGGCAAAGTCATGGAGGCGGTGCTGAACGCCGAGATCAACAGGGACCGCCCCCTGGGAGAGGTTGCTTACAACGTCGCGCCAGCACTCAAGAGGACCGCCCTTGACATGGCCTATCCGGGGGTGGATGCCGGAGTCGATGCCGACGTGATCGCAAGAGCGACGGTCGAGACGATGGCGTTCTGGGGAATGTGCCCCGTCGCCGGGCCGAAACTCAAAGCGAGGGGCATCGCGGTGCCGATTGACGCGCAGATGAAGGCCGATATCGACAACAGGGGGAGAAAGGGTCAGAGGGGCAAGAAGGCGACGAAGGCCAAGGGCGGCACGGAGAAGAAGGGGACGAAGGGCCAGAAGGCGAAGGAGTCGGCGTAGTCGGGGAGGGGCATATGTAGCGCTATGCCTACTGCTAGCTTGGATTCATTGTTGCTTGGATTTGATGCTGCTATGGTCGATCTCGTTTTGTGTGTTTCGGCTGTCGGACCCCTTTGATGCTGGTTTTTTGCGTTTCCTTGTGTGAGTGCATGTCGACTTTATGTAGGATGTGTAATGAACATTTGAACCAGTATCTTGTCACATCACGAAGGATACCAGGCCGACACGTGACTAACTATGTTAGAACTACCACATGAGCATTGTGAGAAACTCAAAGTCGACAACTGTATAAGTACGAAACACATGCATGCTGTAACAACATCATCTACAACATGCAACAGCCCACAATCGCATGTTGCTTGTGAGCATTCACGCGGTCTTCTTGCGCTTGGTCGGAGGCAGCTTCCCGGCGTCGTTTTCGCGGGCCAGGTCGGCCAACGCCTTCTTCATCCCCTCCTCCCATGTGTCCGGGAAAAGGTCGGCGACAAACTTCTCCGGCTTGAACCCGCGCGCCACGAGCGCACTGGCGAGACGAAGCTTGGCAAATTCCGTCTTGCCGAGCCCCTTGACGCCCTTACCCTGCCCGGCATAGGTCGGTTTGTTGCCCGCGTTGAGCACCGTGAGGGCATCCGAGAAGGTCCCAATGCCAGGCGCCGCTATCGTGTTAAGCGCGTCGACGACGGCTTCGGTGTCGGCTTCGCCGTCGCTCTTGCGAAGCTGGCGCACGGCATCGATTACCTTCATCATGCGGCGCACCCTCGTCCCGTGTGCTCCCTGCGAGGCTCCGTCGAGGAGGGTGTGGCGGTCGACGAATCCCGGCTCGAAGAACCTGTCGCACAGACGACGGGTGTCGGCGCTGGTGCACGAGGTCCAGAGGCGCCACGCGTCCCTCACGGTCGTTGCATTCCGCCAAGGCTGAACCACGTTCAGCTCGTAGCTAGCCTCCTCGACCGTCTGTGTGGATTTTTTGGGTTTCTTGGCTCCGTCACCCCTGCTTGCCGACTCCGCGGAGCCACCGTCGCTCAGCGATTGTTCGCTCGCAACTGGCGGCGCCTCCGGCATCCTACGAGCTTCTGAAACGCGGAGAGCCTCGGTGAGGCGGGTTATCTCGTCCGTCATCGACGCGATGGTAGCGTCGCGCTGCTCGAGCTTCTCCTCGAGGTCGATCTTCTCGACCGCTGACCGCTCCCTCTCGAGCTTCAGCGTCGTTGTGAGGGAGACGACCGCGTACTGGGCGTCATGGCGGACCGATATCTCCTGCAATGTAGGCGAAAAACGGTGCAGGTGAGGTGTTGTCATCGGGCACAGTGCTCATGGCGATGTCGACATAAAGATGACTCACCTCTGGCTGGATGAGGGTTGGGTCTTGCCGCTTTTTGATGGTCTCGGTGTCGGTCTTCTCCACCCTCTTCGCCCAGTGCTGGAAGAGGGGAATCCGGCAGAGCTTGGAATACTGGACGTACGGGTGCCAAGGCGTGCGGACGAGTTTCACAGCGAGGTCCTCGGCGACAATGCGGCGGAACATCAGGAGGGTGCGCCAGAAATGCACGGCAGCAACGTCGGCGTCGGACCCCTTCTTCGCGAGTTCTTCCGCCTGCAATTAGACAACAGACGTGGGTAATTACCGTGGTTGAAAGTACAGTGCCATGCGATGCTTGGTCGGTACCGATCGACATACATTCTTAAGGAGCTCGTCGACGCCGGGGAAGATGTGCTCGGCGATGAGCTTGAGAAGCTCGTCCGACGGTTCCACCCTGCTGCGCCCCAAGAAGTAGTCCTGCGTGTAGCCCGAATAGCCGGCCTTCTTCATCACCACGCCGACGGGAATGGCTGTGATGTAGGCTCGAGTCATCTTGTCGAGAGCCCAGTGACCCAGCTCGGCTATCTCGGCGCGAGGCGTACCGTTGATGGCCAGCTCCTGCGCCCCGCCTGCCCGAGCGGCATGGACGTTCCGCTTGCAGTACACCCCGTTCGTCTTCCACATCTGCCTCGTCCATCGCTGGTGGCTGGCAGCGGAGAGTTCGCCCTGCTCGGGGTCGTTGCGGGCGAAGAACAGGTGCTTCTTGTACCAGCGCTCGCGTGTGCTGGTGTCGACCGGCGGAATGAGGTCGACGCCGTGAAACTGGCCGATCTGGTCGAGGATGAAGTGTAGCCACAGTCCGGTCTCGCCGACGGCGCACAATTCCGCTTCGAGGTGCCGCGCGGCGTAGCTCTGCTGAAGACGCGCATCCTTCGACGTCTTCGAGTTCCGCGCGGCGACCACCATGACGACCGGCTGGTTATCCGGGTTTACCGACGAGGTGCTCGCCAGTCGGTACAAGAAGATGTCGGGGAGCGTGATCTCGCGGATGCTTGCACCGCGCATGAGGCTGTGGTGGGAGAGCAGCGTGAGCACCTTGACGAGAAGGAACCTCCACAGCGTCTGCGAGGGAGTGGTGAAATGCGGGCTCCATGCCGACGCCGCCCAAGCCGGCAGCACCCTCGTCATGATCTGGCGGAACTGTTCGGCGGTGTATGTGTCGCCGATGGTGCCGCGTCGACGGTCGGCGCAATTACTGTCGACAGAACAATACGGCGGTAGGATTATTAGGGCGATGGGAACAAATCGTCACCGACTAGAAAACGGCGCTGGATGCCAACTTACTTGATGTCCCTCTGGTTTTTGGTGCGGACCATGACCCGCACCTCCGACCGGACAACCGAGATTTCTCGCATGATGCCCAACTCCTTCTCCTTGTACAGCGTCGCTTCCACCCTCGCCGCCATCTGGCATGCCTTGATGCGGCCGAGGATCATGTGCACCGTGTAGGACGGCACCGGCGCGTTCGTCTCGGCGTCGATCTTGAACTCCCGCCTCATGAACTTGACGTAGGCGCGCAGCCGCGTCGGAGTGACCTTGGGGCCGTGCAGCCAGATGTGCTTCCGTTTGACCACCTTCGGGTTGTCCCAATCCTTGCTCTTGTTGCAGTGGATCCAGTGCCCGATCTCGTCGACGTGCCTAGTTCGTTCCCCGATCGGCAGCTTGTCGCCTATCTCTTTGAGCATCTTCGCGGCCCACCTCTTGTAGTGGTAGATCCATGAGATGTAGGACTGGAGCGTGCTCTTAGCCTCGATGGTTTTCAGGTGGCGCAATGCCTCCATCACGAGCACGTCGACGCACGCGTACACCATATCTTCCTCTACGAAGTCGGCCGCCTTCCACTGTTCTCGAGGGACCGACGTGTTCATCAGATCCTCGAGCTCGTCCTCGTCCAGAAGTTCCTCGATGAACGCACGTTCCCCCCTGAGCTTTTCTTCCAACGTGCGCGGACCTGGGCCACGTCGGGGCCGCGCGTCGGCTTCGTCGTCCTCGTCGCTCGCCGAGGAGTACCCTAAACCCTGGTCGCCCGCTACGTCCGGCACCGACGACGGCCCGGCCTCCGCTGCATTCGTCGGTGCCGACGTGTCTTTGCTTGGTTTCGTGAACTCCCCTATGGGCGCGGGTGGAACGTCCTTGGTGAACTCTCCCTTCGGGATTTGGGCCAGGGCGTCGAGATCGTAAAGCAGGGGCAGCGTCGACGAGGGGTTACTGTTCGGTGTACGATCTACCGGGCGGACATCCTCACCCTGGCTAGCGGGGTTCGGAACGTCCGTCATGTCGACGTCGGCGGGTGGTGGCTGCGGTTGCGGCGGTGTCGAGCGAGGCTGTGCTCCGGCCATGATACCGCGACCTAGGGTCTCGCGATGGGAAGTCGGTGTGGTGAGGTCGGTGAAATGAAACATGGCGATTCTAAGTCGGCGGTATCTGACAGGTCGGCATCGCAGACAACACTACGAGACGGCGGCCCCGACGTCTGACTATTCTGACGACGCCGACGTTCCACGTCTGCCGACAATCTCCCGATGGAAAAAAAACTAAGGGCGAGCCGTCAAGGGAACGGGGAAAAAATCTAAGTGCCAGCTAACGGATGAAAAGCACAGAGAACGGCAGGCAGAATGAGCGACCTGCAATTGGACCCCAGATTGGTATGGTCGTGAGCGACTCCGCTCCACTTGGCGCTCCACGCAAACCCCTGTGCAGGACGCAGCTATGCATGTACGCTCGTGCGGCGGCGCCGTGACCGACGTGCCACCGGGCGTGCATGCTTGAAGCGCTTCGCTCATAATGCGCCTTTCATGGGTGTTACACGCTGGCTCTGTGGTGCGGTACGTGGCGTGGTCCCAGCGCGGTAGTTCGAGGGCGGGAGACACTGCCGCGTGGCACCACGATGAAGACCTTCTGGTCGACGCCGACATTCCCGCCAGTATCCACTGCACCTAGCCAGAGGTAGTGGACGGTCGGATTTCGCCTTGGGCATGTGGGCAACCGTTGGATGATGGCCGTGTGGTACGCACCGACCTGGCAACGCTTGGGCGCGAAGTTTTCCCACGCGAAGCACCCCCACCTTCCGTTGGCCCGTCGTGGCCACCCTGGCTGTCCACGATGGCCCCGCCATCCAGGGGTCGATCTCGGACGTCTCTTTTTTGGCCGCGTGGCGATCACCGCGGCCCGACGTGCCGAGCTGGGATGACAACACGCGGCTGAGACGACCTTCTCGGGATTGTCTCAGCGGAACCCAAGGTCGACAGGTCGTCGACAATCCCGAGGGGTCACCAGCACTGGGCCCAGCCAGCTCGCCTGGGCTTTCCACGCGGTGGTCGTCGTGGGGTCGACAACCCCGAGGAGGGGGGTTGTCCGTTCTGGCCCGCGAAAATGGACGGCCTTTTTCGTCCGCTGAGCTCTATTATGCTGTACAACCTATGGGTCCGTCCGGGGAGGACAGAACAGCAGCAATGCAGGCTTGGTGACGAGACATGGGCTTGTCTAAGCTGCTGAGTTCCTAGATTTCTTCTCACAATGACTGCCTCGCTAAGAACGCTACACCTAGCCACCGCTATTTTCAACTTCCCACCTTGGCACTGTTCCCGATTTTCATATAAACCCTGCCCAGCTTTCGGGGTTTTCTGTTAGAAACCTCGGTATGGGGGACTACGAATGACGTCAAATGCTGGACGCTGGAGATTTTAATCGGGCGAGTGTAAGACAATTTCCGCTCGTGTGGAGTCTGCTTCCTGTTGCGCATCCCATTGCGCAGCTTTCAGGAGTCAGGAACTAACTCTGCGTAGAGCGTATGACGTCCGACACAACCCTTGGTAAAAAATGTTTGAGGGGTGCATACCCCTTTGCGCACGTGGGGGTTGAAAATAGACCGAAAGAAAATAGCGGTGGTTAGGTGTATAACTTCAGAATCCAGCGTCTTAGTGCTTTATGATTCAACACCGTAGGCACAGAGCAGGCTAAGGTACATAGCGCAAACGACGCTCTTACGAGAAACTTCAGGAAGCATGTTCAGACGGGGAATATAGGACACCTGCTTGATTTGAGTATGCAGCAGCGGTGGATTTCTGTGAGATTCCTGAATCCTGTTTCATCCATTCTTCAGCTCTAGTTCTGGAGTATCTTCGAACCCGGCTCATGCTCACGAACTGGCAGTTCGTTTCCCCACAGCGCACACGCCTAGTTAATTAGATGGCCACCATACTATTCTAGGCTTAAGGTGCATAGAAGCCATAGAAGTGTCGTTCCAAACTAAGCAGAGCGTCATCCCAAATTTATTCGGGTTATTTAGTCGGAAGGATAGCAGATAGTCACCATGGATCCATCTCGCTGACTTTTGAGTCGAGATAAACGCCAAATTTTACAGACGAATCTGTTCGGGTTTTTTGAGTCGCAAGGACAGCAGACAGGCACCATGGATCCATCTCGTAACTCCATTCCTTCTTCCGTCTCCGATTATCCTAACCGTCTTACACCCTTTCGGACCGCACCGGCTCCTGCAAATCCGGGAGTTCAGGAGATCGCCGCGTCGTTTCCGGCAAATCAACCCGGAAATCAAGCTCCACCGCATGTACGACTCGCTCAGGCCACGCAAGGACCTCTGACCGTACAATATCAAAGGATCAGTCCTTCTACGGCGGGATCTCCGAACCTGCAGGCCCAAAGGATCGGCCAGCCGACGTTGATGCATCAAACGCCACCATATTCGTCGGCGAATCAGGCCACGCATGGTTCAATGATGGCAGGGAACGTGCCATCTCGAAGCCCCGTGCCTCAAGCACAGATTCCGCAAGTTTCAGGCGCACAGGGAGCACGGGGATTCCACGGAGCACCGCACGTGCAGGGCCAGCAAGTGCAGGGAGCACGTTTGCAGCCGGGAGCGACAGCGCAGGCAAGCCGACAGCATCAGGGGCAGCAACATACCGGCCAGCCGTCAACTGTCCGGCAAGCTAACCAGCAGGTCAACAATCTGCAATATCAGCAGCCGCAGCAGCAGCAGAACCTGCAGCAACATCAGCAAATCCTGCTGTTGCAGCCGCAGGGCCGGCAGCCAGTGCTGGGCCAGCAACAAACGCAATCGCAGCAGCAACAGCAGCGGCAACAGCAACACAGCAGCAGCAGCAGCAGCAGCAGCAGCAGCAGCAGCAGCAGCAGCAGCAGCAGCAGCAGCAGCAGCAGCAGCAGCAGCAGCGAAACATGCTGTTGCAGCGGCCTGGTTTGGCAGGGCCAATCAAGTTCACCCTGCAGCAGCAGGGCCAGTCGCAAGCGCAGGCCCAGCAACCGGCGCAGGCGCAACAGCTGCAACAGCAACAGCAACAGCAACAGCAGCAGCAACAACAACAGAACAGGCTGTTGCAGCAGCAAATTCCAGTGCAGAGTCTCAAGGCGCCAGCTCTATTCCCGCAGCAGCATCCGCATCAGCAGCAACTGCCAGGTCAACAGATATTGCAGCCGCAGCTGGTTCAGCATCAGCAACAAAGCAGGCAATTTCAGCAACAGCAACAGCAGCAACAGCACAGTTTGCAGCAGCAGGGAAATCCGGTGCTGGTTTCGTCCCCACAGCAGCAGCAGCAGTGGCAGCAGCAGCAGCAAGCGAGTCCACAGGTAATGATGCAGCCTCAGCAGCAGGCGCAGTTAGACTGGTTGCAGCCAAGGCAACAGCAGTACCAGCAGCCACAGAAGCAGCAGCATCAACAGCATCAGCATCAGCATCTTACGATACCTCAGACGTCCGCTAACATGCATGGTATGCATACGCCACAGCAGCAGCAGCAGCAGCAACAGCAGCAGCCGCAGCAGCCACGCCAGCCGCCGCAGCAGCCACAGCAGCAGCAGGGGCAGCAGCAGCAGAAACAGAAGCACCAGGGGCAGCAGCAAGGGCAGCCAAAGAGACAGAAGCAGCAACCGCGCCAACAGCAGCAGAAGCAGCAGGTAGAGCAGCCAGATCATCCCTGGTTCAAGCTTCCACCAAACCTTCAGAAACTCTTGCTAGGCCACCCTGTGCAGAAACAGCAAGGCGTAGCGTCCCCCTTCCCGCCACAAGCAACCCAACAGCAACAGCCGCAGCAACCACAGCAGCTTCAGCAACTTCCTACTCAGCAGCAGCAGTGGTGGGAGCAGCTGAAGAAGCCACACACACAACCACAGGCACAGTCACCGCAGCTGCAGCTGCAGCAGCTACAAAGGCGTGTGCAGGAACAAGAGGTGACTTCGTCTCAGGCGCAACGTATTCGCGAGGAGCAGCAGAAGTATCAAAGGCAGCAGCAACAGATGCTGGAATACAAGCAGCAGCAGCTCCAGCTGGAGCAGTTGAGACAGCAGCAGCTGCTGCAGCAGCTGCAGCCGCAGCAGCCGAAACAGCAGCAGTTGACTGTTCATAGCAATCAGATGCAACAACAGCATCAGGTGCCTTCACAGCAGCAGCAGCAGCTCGTGCAGCAGCAGAACAGTATGCTGCGTCAACAACAGCAGCAGCATGTGCTGCTGCAGCAACAGCAGCCGCACCCGATGTTACAACAGCAGCAGCAGCAGCAACAACAACAGATGCTATTGCAGCAGAAGAAGCAGCAGCAGCAGCTTCAGCAACAGCAGCAGCATCAGCCACAACAGCAGCAGCAGCCACAGCAGCAGCAGCAGCAGCCACAGCAGCAGCAACAGCAGCAGCAACAGCAACAACAGCAACAGCAACAGCAGCAGCAGCACCCACAGCAGCAGCAATCACAGCAGCAGCAGCAGAAGCCGAAGCAACAGTCCCAAAAGCACTCACTCCCAGAGCACTCCCTGCCTAACCTATGGCGGAGCAAGCGCAGGAAAACAGCTCGCAAGGACGAGGATGAAGACATGGAAAAAGACGATGGGGATACTTCAGACGCCTTTCTTGGTTCACAGCCGAAAGTGCTGGAGCCTCTGCATTACAGGGCGCTTAGATCGATTCACGAGTCGATCCGACAGGTGGAGATGCTTTTTGGGGTGAAAGCGCTGCTGCTTAAAGAGAGGATGGATGGGGAAGAGGGTGGGGAGAACGGGGGGGAAGCGGCGGGGGAGCAGAAGGAAGGGGGAGAGGGGGGGGCGGAAGGTGGGGGCGAAACAGGAGAGGAGGAGGGGGAAGGAGAGGGGGGCGATGGGGATGTGAGTCCTGTAGCGAGAGGCGAAAACGTGGTGGCGAAATGGGAGAAGGAGGAGAAGGAGGCAGAGTCACGCAGACGGAAAGCAGCAGCACAGCACGGAGACCTGCTGAAGATGCACCTACAGGAGCTGATCTCCTGGTGGGAAAAGAAAATCGATGCGCCTGGGCCCCCGCGAGCGAGACCCCTTTCAGGGCAAGCCGGAGGAGGAGAAGGCGGCGAAAGAAGAGCTGTTTGAGACAGTGCTGGCGGTGGTGAGGTTGCTGCCGGCGTTTCCTACAGAGTGCCAGGGGAGCCTGGGGAAGATGTGTGATGTCGGGGGGGAGGTGTGTGAGAGGACGGACGTGGAGTTGTACTGGGTGGAGCGGGTGGTGGCGTATAACCCTCCCGAGGTGCTCAAGATGATGCGCTCAGAGAAGGGCATTAAACAGCTGGTGAGTGGTGGGGTAAGGCTGGGGATTATGCGTATGTAAGGGGGAGAGACGGGGGAGGTGTGTGAGAGGACGGATGTGGAGTTGTACTGGGTGGAACGGGTGGTGGCGTATAACCCTCCCGAGGTTCTCAAGATGATGCGCTCAGAGAAGGGCATTAAACAGCTGGTGAGTGGGCGTGGGGTGAGGTGCTGGGGAAGATGTGTGCCATGTGGGGAGGGACAGAGGGAGAGGGAAAGGTGCGTTCGAGTGAGGAGGTGGTGGTACAGATGATCAGCAACTCAGCAGCACCGTCTGTTCCATGCAACTTGTTCTTTCTTCCTCTCGTCAATCCTTCCCGTCCCCTTCCCCCTTCCCCCCCCTACCCCACACAGGAGGTGACCATGGAGCAGAGGAAGGTGCGGGCAAGAGAGGAGGTGGTACCGTGGTGGCACAGATGATCAGCAACTCAGAAGCACCTTCCCTTCATGAATCCGTTCTCTCCCATCTCCCACCACACACAGGAGGTGACGATGCAAGAGAGGAAGGTGCGGGCGAGTGAGGACGTGGTGGCACAGACAATCAGCAACTCAGCGGCTCAGTTGAGGGAGGGTGGTGTGGAGACCGAAACCTTTGTGCTCAGCCTCAAGTGCCCTCTCTCCCTTCACTTCCCTCCTCCTGTCACACACAGGAGGTGACGATGCAGGAGAGGAAGGTGCGTGCGAGCGAAGAGGTGGTGGCACAGATGATCAGCAACTCAGCAGCTCAGTTGAGGGAGGGTGGGGTGGAGACCGAAGCGTTTGTGCTCAGCCTCAAGTGCCCTCTCTCCCTAGCTCGTATCAAGGTCAGTGGCTTTTGCATATTCCCTTTTCTAATACTTTGGATTAGGCTTCTCACAAGGCACTCATGTGCACAACCTCAAGTGCCCTCTCTCCCTCGCCTGCATCAAGGCCAGACGCATTCATTCCACTTTATCATAATCTCCCGCTTCCATAGATGGCTGCTTTGTGAGGTAGGCGAAGTGCACTTGTTGCTCCCATTGGCTTCCCCATCCCTCATCCCCCATCCAGGGTTATCCATCAACCATCCCCGTTTATTCAACTGGAGATGATAGCTAGAAGTGCTCCCACGAGAGCACGTTCAGACTCGCATGTTCAGACCCGAAGAGGAATCAGTTTTGAGCTTTTAACACTACGATGATTCCCCCATTGCCCATCACTCCATGCAGGTGCCGGTGAGAGGCAAGAAGTGCTCCCATGAAAGTACGTTCGACCTGGCTTCCTACCTGCGCATGAACCAAGGCCTGGCTAAGAACGTCAAGCGGGCATGGCGCTGCCCCATCTGCTACCAACAGCTGCTGTGGTCGGAGCTCTTTTTGGATGGATTCAGTGAGTGCATTTAGAGCGCACTGCACTGCATTGAAGCCCACTGCACCGCATTGAAGCCCACTACACCGCACTCCACCATACCCTGCTTGCTAGTTTCCTTTTTTTCCTCCCTCCCTCTCCTCTGTCTCTAACCCCCCTCTCCCTCCCCTTTCCCACCTCTTTCTCCCCTTTCCCACCTCTCCCTCCCACCTCACCCTCCTCACTGCACCCCTCTGCTCTCCCAACAGTGCAAAAGATTCTTGACGAGACGAGTGAGGGGGACGAGGAGGTGGAGGTGTTTCCAGATGGCAGGTGGAGAAAGGTGGAGAGCGGTGATGGGGAGGACGGGAGCTGTTCAGAGTCTGATGAGGAGGAGAGGATGATAATGATTGCATTGAAGAGAAGAGAGGAGGAGAGGAGGAGGAAGGAGGAGGAGGAAAAGAAAAAGAAGGAAGAGGAGGAGAGTGGGGCGCTGGAGAGAGGGACGGAGGGAGATGGAGTGGGATTGAGTGCGGTTGGGAGTGGGGAAGGAGAGGGGAGGGGGGATGAGGATGAAGACGTGATAGAGACTGTTGGAGGGGAGAGGAGAGAAGGAATCAGAGAGGGGGAGTGCAGAGGGGAGGGATGCGAAGAGGGAAACCAGGTGCAGGAGGAGGAAGCTGTGGAGGCAACTGGTGGTAACCACCGGTTAGATGGGGTGTCTCGTGAGTCGGCTCAATCGGCACCTCAAAACCAGGTGGAAGGGGGGGCAGCTGGAGAGAAGCTGAAGGTAACTGGTGGTAACCACCATGTGGATGGTGTGTCTCTTGAGTCGACTCAAAAGGCACCTCAGAACCAGGTGGGGGAGGAGGTGGCTGTGGAGGCAACTGGTGGTAACCAGCATGTGAATGGGGTTACAGCGAGCCTGCCCTTTGTAACAGGAAGGGAGGCGGATGCGGTTACAGCAAGATCATGTCCAAAGGATACGGTTACATGTAGTTCAGTCTCAAGGGAGGCGGTTACTCTGACTTCTCTTCAAAACGGGACGGCAGATGACTCAGACGCACTTGCACCCAGCCCAGTTTCGAGGGTCACTGCGGCTCTGAGTGAACCTCAAAACGGGTGCGCAAGAGACACCGACACGCTTGCACCCAGTTCAATTGCGAGGGTCACAGATACCCTTAGCTGTATAGAAGTGGGGACAGCAAGGGGCAGAGATAAACTTGCACCCAGTTTAGTTTCAAAGGACGCAGTTACTCCTAGCGCTCCTCAAAGCGGGGCCACGAGGGACAGGGAACTGGCATTAACAGCGAGTTCGCTTCCTGTGAATGGGCTTACAGCGGGTGAGGCGCCTCAAGAGTTGACTCGCATGGATGGACGAGAGGAGGTTGAGAGAGGCGCAGAGGCAGGGAGGATTGGAGCAGCAGCAGCTGTGGGGGTTGGTGGGGAAGCAGCGGTGGTGGTGGTTGAGACTTCAAGTGCAGTTGTTCTTGAGGCGCCTCAAGCATTGGATCACGTGGATAGAGCAGATGCGGTTGGCAATGGTTCAGAGGTGGTCGGCAATGGTGCTGAGGTGGTTGGCAATGGTGCAGAGGCGGAGCGGGAAGCGGCAGCTGTGGTGGTGCGTGGGGCGTTGAGTGGTGTGGCTGAACCAGCACGCAATGCAGCAGGGGTGGCATGTGGGGTGCATGGGCGTGCAGATGGGTTGACAGGGATGGCATGTGGTGCGCATGAGCCAGCAAAAGGGATGGATGGGATGATTAAAGAGAAACCGGTTGCTGCTGATTTCAATGGGCGTGGGCGTGCAGATGGGTTGACAGGGATGGGATGTGATGCGCATGAGCCTGCAGGGATGGATTGGGGGGTTGAAGAGAAACCGGCTGCTGCTGATTTCAGTGGGCGTGGGCTTGAGGAGAAGAGGTCTGGGAGAGAGAAGGAGCAAAGGAGGGAGGGGCGAGACCTGGTGCTTGGAAGTGTGGTGGGAGGAGGGGAGGTGAAAAAGGAGGATCAAGTAGGGGAGGGTTGTGATCTGCTGGTGGGGAGTGTAGTGCGAGGAGGGGGAGTGGACGAGAAGGGTTGTGCTAGGGGAAGGGGCACGAGCGTGGTTTTAGTTAAGAGGAAGAGAGATGGAGATACGGGAGGAGAAGGATGGGAAGTTGGAGGAAAGGGAGAGGAGGGAGTGGAAGGAAGTAAGGAACAGGTTGAAAGGGTTTCAGATTTGGGGAAGGAGAGGAGGATTGGGAAGGATGAGAAGGATGAGAAGGTTGGGATGGGAGGGAGGGAGGAAAAGGACGGGAAGGAGAGGAAGGATGGTATAGGCATCGACGGTTGTGCTGGCAGTGGTGATTCGGGGAGTGGGGGAGCAGAAGGAGTAGAGGGGGGAGGACGGCAGAGGCTGGCTGAAGGGGCTTCAGTTGAAGGGAAGTATGGGAAGGAAGGGAAGGAGAGCAAGCGAGGGAAGGATGGTGTGAGCACGGGCGGTTCTGTGGGCAGTGGTGGTTCGGGGAGCGGCTCAGGGCAACGGAAGGGAAAGAAGACTGTGAAAGTACTCTGCGATGTGAATTTTATTTGCACAAAGGAAGAGGCCGCTCAGATTCGGCTGCAGCTGGAACAGGAGAGGCAGCAGCAGCAGGGGCAGCAGCAGCAGGGGCAGCAGCAGCAGCAGGGGCAGCAGGGGCAGCAGGGGCAGGGGCAGGGGCAGGGGCAGGGGCAGATGGAGCAGGGGCAGGGGCAGGGACAGGGGCAGAAAAAAGTGATTAATGGTGTGGAGGAGGGAGGTAAAGGAGGAGCACCAGCTCCTAGGGGGGTTGTGGTTGCTCTAAGAGCAAGAGGTAGTGGTTCGAATGATTCCGCAGCAGCATTAGGGAGAGGTGGTGCAGTGGGGGAGGGAGGTAGAGGAGAAGCATCAGCTTCTGGCGGGGTAGGTGTTGCCACAAGAGCACGAGCAAAGGGTTCGAGCGATTCAGCAGCAGCATCCTCTGGGAGGGGTGGTGTGGTGGAGAGTAGGAGGGCCACACGTGGGACTATAGAGAGGGAGAAGAGGGGTAGTGTGAGTAGTAGCAGTGTGACAGTAAAGGGTGCTGGTGTGAGTACGAGGGGTGGTGCTACTACTGGGGGGGGGAAGAATGCTGCTGGGAAGAGTGGTGCTGGTGCCAAGGGTGCTGGTGCTAAGGGTGCTGGTGCTGCTAAAGCTGTGGAAGCAGAGGTGATTGAACTGCTCTCGGATTCAGATGAAGAGGAGGTGGAGGAGAAGGGTGGTGGTGCTGCTGGTGGTGCTGCTAATGGTGGTGGTAGTGGTGATGCTGGTGGTGCTGGTAATGGTGGTGGTGGTGGTGGTGGTGGTGGTGCTGCTGCTGCTGCTGCTGCTGCTGCTGCTGCTGCTGCTGCTGCTGCTGGTGTTGCTGCTGGTGGAGCTTCAGGTGCTTCTGCTGGTGGAGCTTCAGGTGCTTCTGCTGGTGGAGCTTCAGGTGCTTCTGCTGGTGGAGCTTCAGGTGCTTCTGCTGGTGGAGCTTCAGGTGCTTCTGCTGGTGGAGCTTCAGGTGCTTCTGCTGGTGGAGCTTCAGGTGCTTCTGCTGGTGGAGCTCTCAGTGTGCCCATTGCACCTGAGCTGCCGTCATCGAGTGTTACAAGGTGATTCCCGCTTGTGATGCTGTCCGAGTAGGTGCAGATACAGGCACAAGAACCACATGTGTCCCCGTTGCACCTTAACTGCCGTCATCGAGTGTTACAAGGTGATTCCCGCTTGTGATGCTGTTTCAGTTGGGACACAGATACCCTTTCTGTTTTGCTCGTTCCTCTTTTCCAATCGCCCAGTGCAGTTCTCCGTGCCCCACCCTTCTGTCCCTCACGCCTCTCCCTACCTACCTCCCTCACCTCTTCGTCCTTTTCCCCTTCCTCTCTCCCTGCTTCCCTGTCTTTTATCTTCATTTCGTCTCCTTTTTCTCCCCTTAGAGCAGAGGGAACGCAGCGGGCAGTGCAAGAGGGCATGTGCCATCTTCTCTCCCATAGTTTATTTCTTTCATTTCTTTCTCTCTCCCTGCTTCCCTGACTTGTCTTCTTTTCACCTCCTCGTCGTCTCTGTAGAGCAGAGAAAGCGCAACCAGCACTGCGAGAGGGCATGTGCCATTTGCTATCCCAAACCTTCCTTCTTTTCTCCCTTCCTCTCTCCCTTCCTCTTTGCCTCCTCTTTGTCTTCTCTGTAGAGCAGAGGGAGCGCAGCGGGCAGTGCAAGAGGGAATGTGCCACCTGCTGTCCCAGACGCAGCAGGAGCAACGCCATCACCAGCAGCAGGGGGAGCAGCACCAGCAGCGGCAGAAGCTGCAGCAAGGTCAGCTGCAGCAGATACAGCATCGGCAGTGGAAACAGAGGCAGTGGAAACAGAGGCAGCGTTTAAGGCAGTGTGGGCAGGACTATTTGGATCGCCGCAAGCAGCAAGAGCAGCGTCAGCTGCAGCAGCAGCATTGCCAGCAGCGACAGCACCAGCAGCACCAAGTTCAGCACCAACAGCAGCAGTGTCAGCACCAACAGCAGCAGTGTCAGCTACAGCGCCAGCAGCACCGCCAGCAGCAGCAGCAGCAGCAAAGACGGCAGCAATGGCAGCGACATGCAGGGCAGCAGCAGAAGGATCGAGGACAGCAGGCGGTGTCAAGGCGATTCAAGCAACAACTTGCTTAGCCTTGCCAGCAGATGTTGTTGCAACAGGAGCAGCAGGAGCAGAAGCAGTAGTGGCAAGTACAGCGGCACCAAGAGCACTAGGAGCGGCAGCAGCATTGGGAGCAACAGCAGCAGCAACAGCAGCAAGAGCAATTACAGCAGCAACGGGTACAGCTTTGAAAGCAACAACAGCAGGAACGGGAGCAGCACCAAGAGCAACAACAGCAGCAACGAGAGCAGCAACGAAATCAGCAACAGCAGCAAGAGGAGCAGCAGCAGCAAGAGCAACAGCGACAACAACAGCAGCAGCAAGAGCAACAGCAGCAGCACCACGAGCAACAACATCAGCAGCAGGAGGAGGGGGAGGAGGAAACTCTGTGAAGCTGCACATCATTCCCCCTCGCCGCCCAGCCAAGGCTGCCAGCACATCTCACTCAACTTTTGAGGCGTCTCAAAAGCCAGCCACTACCAAGGCTGCCAGCACATCTCACTCTAACACTCACCCCACTCACCACACTCACACCACTCACCACACTCACCCCACTCATCACACTCACTCGCACCTCACAGCAAAGCAGCTCGTTCGCCCTGCCCCTAAAGGCGCGTCTCACTCTAACACTCACCACAACCACTCGCACCTAGTTCCCAACCAGCCTGCTCGTCCTGCTCCTACTGGAAATCCCGCTCCCGCTCTCAACCCTGCGCCAAAGAATGCTGTGGTTTCCTCTCCTCTCTCATCTGCCCCGTCGTCTGTCCCTTCCTCTAGCCCCTCGCCTCTTCACTCTGCCACTCACTCAGTGGCTGCGCTCTTACCACCTGTTGGCTCCAAACAAGTCCTGACTTCGACCTCCTCTCCTGCTGCCGCTTCTGAGAACGCTCAAAAGTGACTCTCCCTCATCTGTCCCTTCCTCTACCCCCTCGTCTCTTCACTCTGCCACTCACTCTGGCTGCACTCGTACCGCCTCTTGGCTCTAAACAAGCCCTGACTTCGACCTCCTCTCCTGCTGCCGCTTCTGAGAACGCTCTAAAGTGACTCTCCCTCATCTGTCCCTTCCTCTACCCCCTCGTCTCTTCACTCTGCCACTCACTCAGTGGCTGCACTCGTACCGCCTCTTGGCTCTAAACAAGCCCTGACTTCGACCTCCTCTCCTGCTGCCGCTTCTGAGAACGCTCTAAAGTGACTCTCCCTCATCTGTCCCTTCCTCTACCCCCTCGTCTCTTCACTCTGCCACTCACTCAGTGGCTGCACTCGTACCGCCTCTTGGCTCTAAACAAGCCCTGACTTCGACCTCCTCTCCTGCTGCCGCTTCTGAGAACGCTCAAAAGTGACTCTCCCTCATCTGTCCCTTCCTCTACCCCCTCGTCTCTTCACTCTGCCACTCACTCAGTGGCTGCACTCGTACCGCCTCTTGGCTCTAAACAAGCCCTGACTTCGACCTCCTCTCCTGCTGCTGCTTTGTCTGCCCCTCATCCTCCGAACCCCCCTCTTCCTGCCGCTTCTGCTGCCACTGCTGCCCCTGAAAGAACCCTGCCTTCTGCCACTGCCCCTCCTACGGCTTTTCCTTGACTCACCTGATTCATAGCGTGCTGTTCTCGTCTCACTCTCTCTCGGCCTTCTTGACTGACCCTGCAATAAACTACAGTCTGTCACATCTTTCCGTGCTAAGACTGTGTTTCAGCTTAGTGTAATGGCAACACACATACGTGCTGTAATAGTTGCTCCTCCTGTACAGACTCTTCATTTCAGTACTACTACCAAGACCATCCAGAATATGTAAAAATAATAGAAACAATACCATTCTCAGTAGCAGAGCATGTTCCCCCTCCCTGTGCGGAGCTAGCAAGCCCAAGAAGTGCACATGTCACACACCTGCCCTTTTTTACTGCATGTACTCTATAGTAACAGAGGCATTCTCACTTGCCTCTCCTGCTGAAGAGGATACTACTCCACCAATCGCAGCAGCAGCAGGGTACCCCTCCCTGTGCAGAGCTAGCAAACATTGCGTGGCTGTGGCTTGGGGGACAGAAAGGAGCAGCCCTCCTGCTGTCTGCGGGTCGAAGAGGAGTGGAGTGAGCGGATGGGCGGAGGCCTGGAGTTTGTTAGGGAAGGGGGAGGGGAAGGGAGTGTGGAGGGGGGGGGGTGGGGAGGGAGGGGGAATTGAAGGTGTTGTGCAGAGCATGAGCATGCAAGCAGTGAGTGGCTATGGCTTGGGGGGCAGAAAGGAGCAGCCCTCCGGCTGTTTGCGGGTCGAAGAGGAGTGCTGTGAGGGAATGCATGCGCGGATGCCTGGACAAGGTGGGGGAAGGGGCGATGGGGAAGGGTGTCAGGGGATTCGAGAGAAAGGAACGGTTGGTGAGGGTGTATGGTGTATAAGTTTCCAGATATGATACTCAGATGCTTTACCTCACTTCCATGTACTTCCTCCCCTTCTCCCTCACCTCTTCATAGTTGGTGATTGCTCGTCGAAGGTGCAGGTTCGAATCCTGCAGGGAGCTGAAAATGCCCTCCTCCACACACTCCAGTGCACCGTCCTAACGAGTGTAGGGGACAGGGGAGGTGGAGGGTTAGAATCATGATGTCTCAAGCGCCAGCCATCCGAGTCTTGGAATTGTATGCTTTTAACTCATCTCCAGGGGTGCAGGTGGTTACTAGGTGTGCATATGGGTTACCAGGTGTGCATGTGGTTACCAGAATTGGAACTGTAGAGGGATCGACGGTGACTTTAACTCGAGATGCTGTTGTCATTTCCACCAGGTGGCCTGTTGAAAAACATGGGGGGAAGACATGAGCAAGACATAGCCCACACACAGGGCAGGCCATGAGATGTATGCGTATGGACAAGGCATGTCACATACACATATTGCAATATGCACATGGTAAACCATACACATGGGATTGCATATTGCTGAACCCACCTAGTAAGCCAAACCCTGTGACGTCGGTAGCAGCAGAGGCCCCGTGTTGCAATGCAATGGCCGCTGCTTTCTGGTGGCGTTTGTAGTGGAGAGAAGGGGTTGGGAGGGGAGAGGAGAGGGGGTAACGGATTGGCAGCAAAAGTGGCAGCAGAAGCCCCATGCTGCAATGCAATGGCCGCTGCGTTGGAAACGAGGGTGGCTGAGGGTGGGGGAAACCGGATGCTAGTTTTGAAGCCGTATCAGCCCTAAAATCACCTGAGTCTAGACCATTTTCGAGACAGCACACTACTTGAAGCATCAGCCTATAACCCGGCCTGGACTCACCTGATTGGAAGCCAGCATGCTATCAATCGCCCCATCCACCCACCGACCCTGAGGGGTGTGTGAGGACGAAGGCGGGACAGGGCTACTAGCGCCGGCAGTGCCACTTGCTGATGCTGTTAAGAATAGGGGCAACACTCCTTTGCCTCGGTGACTCACCTGATTGGATACCAGCATGCTATCAATCGCCCCATCCACCCACCGTCCCTGAGGGGTGTGCGAGGACGATGGCGGGACAGGGCTACTAGCGCCGGCAGTGCCACTTGCTGATGCTGTTAAGAAAAGGGGCAACACTCCTTTTCCTCGACGACTCACCTGGTTGGATACCAGCATGCTATCAATCGCCCCATCCACCCACCGTCCCTGAAGGGTGTGGGAGTACAGCAGGAGGGAGCAGGGGCAGGTAACCAGAGGCAGATGGATCGGGGCGAGGAGGTGACTTCTGAGTGCAATCAAAAGTAAGCTAGGGGACATAGGCGGATGATGGTTGTGATTCTGATGGTGGTGCACAGTGATGAGAAGGACTCTTATTCTGAATCAAAACAATCAAAACCCTATTTTGAAATAACCAACCCGTCATGTCATCCCACCTTGGCCTTGCATCGCATGTTGGCTGCAAAGATGACTCCTGTGCCGATGGGCTTGGTGAGAATGATGGCATCTCCTGCACACATGCCCGCCTGCATGGGTTGAGATGGGGGCGCGCACGGGGGTGAGAGAGGGGAATGAGAAGCAGGGTATTGACGCTGTCCCGCCATCCCACCTTGGCCTTGCATCGCATGTTGGCTGCAAATATGACTCCTGTGCCAATGGGCTTGGTGAGAATGATGGCATCTCCCTCACTCATGCCCGCCTGTGTGCATGCATGGGGTGAGACAGGGATGCACGTGGGACAAGGCGGGAGATGAGAGGAAGTGTGTCGATGCTATCCCACGTTGTTCCTGCTTGATTCGCATTGCATGTTGGCTGCAAAAATTACCCCTGTGCCGATGGGCTTGGTGAGAATGATGGCATCTCCCTCACACATGCCTGCTTGCATGGGATGAGACAGGGATACACAAGGGACATTTCCAGGACAGACAGGTATGAGAGACAAGGCTATTGTGATTTGCAGAATTGTGTGCATATCATGTAAGGTTGCGAACTCAAGCAAACCTGCTGAATTGCCAGCTAATGATAGTATAAATAGTTCTCGTGTACCTTTCTCAAAAGCCTGTCTCTGTCAGCCAATCCCGTGACAGCGAACCCCAGCGACAGCTCAGCACCCTCCACCGTGTGCCCTCCCACCAGCTGACACGTGGCAGCATCCAATTCGCGGATGGCCCCTGCCATGAGCTGAAATAGATCCTCCTCCATCTGATGAGGGTGGTGGGGGAGGAGAAGGGGGAAGGGAGGGATTATAATGTATAGAAGAAAATACGCGCTGTCTCAGGTTTTTGCAGGGTGAACGCTAGCTCTTCAAAATTCCCAAGAACGGTCAACTCTATAGAGAGTACGCTTTTTGAGTCAATGTGACAGCAACAGGGTAAGCACCCATAGGAAGCAGGCATGGAGGGAGGCAATGTGACAGTAACGGTGTTACAACAGAATGACAGGGCCCACCTTCTCCTCTGTTCCATAGGGCAGTGTGACTATAGCGAGCGCTGAGACGGGATCAGCACCCATGGCGAAACAGTCACTGAGAGCATGGAGGGCAGCGATGCGACCAAAAGTGTGTGGGTCGGAGAGGAAAGAGCGGAAGAAATCAACTGTTTGCACCACAACTGGGCTCTGGTGGGAGTTGGGAAGAGAGATGGGAAATCGGGAGAGTCGAGGGGGGAAGCGCACGGCTGTGTATGGCATGGAGAGCAGCAATGTGACCAAAGGTGTGTGGATCGGAACGGAAGGAGCGGAAGAAGTTGACCGTTTGGACCACGACTGGGTTCTAGTGGGGGATGGGGAGTATACAGGTGGGGAGTACGGAGGTGGGGAGAATGGAGGTGGAGGGGAAAAGCACAAGGTTGTTATGGCATGGAGTTTTGAGGCGCCTCAAAACAAGATTGTTATGGTATGGAGGAAGGGCAATACGACCTAAGGTGTGCGGGTAGGGGAAAAAGGAGCTGAAGTAGTCGACTGTTTGGACCGAGACTGGGTTCTGGTTGGAGTGTGGGAGCGTGGAGAGGGGAGAGGGGATGAGAAAAGGCCATGGTTCAGGGTTCAGGAGAATCTCCAGATGAGTACCTGACTGCTGGCCATGCTGTCAGGTGTTATCGCGTGCACAGCAGCATCGTCAGGTGAATTCGCATACCTGAGCCGGCCTTGCTCTCAGGTGGAATCACCCTGCAGAGCAGCATCAGGTGATTAGCCAGGAGAAATTCCAGACGCGCACCTGTCTGCCGCCCGTGCTGTCATGTGGTATCGCCAGCACAGCAGCATCGTCAGGTGAGTCAAGCCCCAGGAGAATTTCCGGGCGGCCAGGTGGGCGGCTGGGGAGGGCGGAGAGACGCGTGAGGACGCGGGAGAGAAGGGACGAGCCGACCTAGTGGGAGTAAAGGTGGGAGGGGGGAGGGGCAGGTAAGAGTAAGGACGGCAGATGGACGGGTGGTGGGTTCAGGAGGGCGGCGACTTTTGAAGCACCTCAAAAGTCAGTGAAGGTGGGAGGGGGGAGGGGTGCGGTGTGGTGTGGTGTGGTGTGGTGTGGTGTGAGGATATATACATCTAATCTCACCTTGGAGCCACAACCACCACAGCGCATGGGCATGCTTTTGAGTGCCAGGAGCGCTTCAGGGCCCGCCGTGTGTGCGATGGGGATGGTGGGGAGTGGGGGCGATGGCATAGCAGGGAGTTGGCTGAACTGCCTCATGAAGGCTCGATCAATCCGGTCCTTGAGCGTCCACATAAGCCTGTCTTCAAAGGCCAGAGATCCCCGAGAGAAGACCGCGTACTGGTCACCAGTGCTGTGCGTGAAGGAACGGGGAAGAATGGAAGGGTGGTGTGTGTGGGTAGAGAGTGAGGGAGTTTACTTCCTAGGCGCCTCACAAAGATCCCCGAGAGAAGACTGCGCACTTGTCACCAGTGCTGTGGGTGAATTGAGGGGGGAGGAGAATCGCAAGGTTGCAAGACAGAGAGTGAGTGGAACAAAGGCATCTAAGGTAAATGAATGTCCCCCTAGTGCAAGCAAACAGCCACGGGCATGCCCTGCCGCACTGCAAACACGCCTCTGCCCTGACCCCCACAAACAAGGTGACTTTTGAGTCGACTCAGAAGTCACCTAGGTGACTTTGTGACTTTTGAGTCGACGACTCAGAAGTCACCTTGCAAACACGCCTCTGCCCTGACCCCCACATTCTCCACACCTGATCATCACTGCAGTCGAAATGGCGAAGCAGTTCTCAGTGATAATCTCGTGTGGCTTCACGAGATGCTCTCAAGACACGCTCTCCTCAAATTCTCCGCCAGGGGTATGCCCTGCCGCACTGCAAACACGCCTCTGCCTTAACCCTAGTCACTAGACACACACATATGCATCTGAACCACCCACCTGATGAGGCTGAGAAAGGTATTTTGAGGGCGAAAGGGTTTCAAAGGCTGGTCCAGCAACGCCCTCCTCAAACTTCCAGCCAAAGGCATGCCCTGCCGCACTGCAAACACGCTTGCCTTGACCCCAGTCACTTCACTAGACACACATATACATGCACACCTGATGAGACTCAGGAAGGTTTTTTGGGGTCGAAAGGGCTTCAACGGCTGATCCAGAAGCGCCCTCCTCAAGTTTTTGGCCAGGGGCATGCCCTGCCGCACTGCAAACACGCCTGCCTTGGGCCGCGGGTAAACGTCAGACGAGTGGATGTCCCCTGCTGCGAACACCCCTTTATGGCTGATGGACTCCAGTGTCTCCCCCACTCGGATAAAACCGTTATTGTCGAGAGCCAGGCCTGTTTGGGCCAGCCACGAGGCTGCACCGCCCTGGGAGGGATTGGTGAGGTGGGAGTGGTGGGTGGGGGGGACAGACAGCGAGAGGACAAGTGTATGTCCCCTGCTGCGAACACCCCCCTATGGCTGATGGACTCTAGTGTGTCCCCCACTCGGATCAAGCCGTTGCTGTCCAGAGCTAGGCCTGTTTCGGAGAGCCAGGAAGCTGCTCCGCCCTGGGGAGTGGGGGTGGAAGGCGTGTTGACGAGTGGATGTCCCCTGCTGCAAACTCCCCTTTATGGCTGATAGACTCCAGTGTGTCCCCCACCCTTATGAAGCCGTTGCTGTCCAGAGCCAGGCCTGTTTGGGCCAGCCACGAGGCTGCTCCGCCCTAAAAAGTGGAAGGGAGGAGTAAGGGAGGAGGGGCGATGGGAAGAGATGGGTAAGCATCAGACGAGTGGATGTCTCCTGCTGCGAACACCCCTTTATGGCTGATGGACTCGAGCGTATCCCCCACTCGGATGAAGGCGTTGCTGTCCAGAGCTAAGCCTGTTTGGGAGAGCCAGAAAGCTGCTCCGCCCTGGGGAGTGGGGGTGGAAGGCGTGTTGATGAGTGGATGTCCCCTGCTGCAAACACCTCTCTATGGCTGATCGACTCCAGTGTGTCCCCCACTCGGATGAAGCCGTTATTGTCGAGAGACAAGCCTGTTTGGGCCAGCCACGAGGCTGCTCCGCCCTGGGAAGTGCGGGTGGAAGGGAGGAGGGGAGATGGGAAGAGGTGGGTAAACATCAGACGAGTGGATGTCCCCTGCTGCGAACACCCCCCTATGGCTGATGGACGCTAGCGTGTCCCCCACTCGGATGAAGCCGTTGCTTTCCAGAGCCAGGCCTGTTTGGGCGAGCCACGCAGCTGCTAAGCCCTGGGAGGGATTGGTGGGTGGGTGGTGTGGAACGAGAGAAGAGGAGTGGATGCTCAACTGGGTACAAGTGGAGGAGAAGTGGTGGACGCTCAAGCTCGGTACAAGTGTAAGGCGAAAGCGTAGGGAGTTTAGGCCTCAAAGAGGCTGGGATGTGAGACAGTAAGCACCTTCCTCCTCTGTTCCCTTCACTCTCAGACTTCCTTCCTCACACTCTTACCCTCTTGCTCACTCACTCACACTAGCACACCCACCTGCGTGCACCACACACACTCATCAAACTCCACCTCCTCTCCCCCTTCAAGAACAAGCACCCCTCCTTGCACTGCGGACCCATCTTGAGCCGACTCTCTTCCTTCCCCTCCACCAGCCCCACTGCCGCTTCCCCTGCCGACCTCCCCTTCCGCTCCATCCACCGCCCCCTCTCTATCCCCTCTCCCTCCACCGCTCTCCACTCCTCGTCGTCTCACTGCCACCACTGCAGCATCGAGAACCTTCACATCTGGTTTGATCATTCAAGGTTGCACGCACATGGGATGGTGGATTGAGTAGGCTTAGATATGTAGAAAGTTTTGACTTATTAGTCTGGGTTATGGAGGGGTGGTGACTGGATAGATAGCTGGCGGTTACTTCTAGTTGATGGGCCGCAAACGGTAACACTCTCTTTTTTAAGGCCTAGAATGCGTTCATCTCCCTCATTCATCTCCCTCACTCATTTCCCTCACTCCTCTCCCTCACTCCCCCCATCACTCCGCTCCCTCACTCCTCTCCCTCACTCATATCCCTCACTCATCCCCCTCACTCCTCTCCCTCACTCATATCCCTCACTCATCCCCCTCACTCCTCTCCCTCACTCATATCCCTCACTCATCCCCCTCACTCCTCTCCCTCACTCATATCCCTCACTCATCCCCCTCACTCCTCTCCCTCACTCATATCCCTCACTCATCCCCCTCACTCCTCTCCCTCACTCCTCCCACACACTGCTCCACCTCTCCCTCACTCACTTCTCTCCTTCAGAATCCGTCGGACAATCAATCGCACGCGCGCGTTGTGGGTGGGCAGAAGATCACCCCTCGTTATAAGCACAAACGAGGCATACACCTGGCTTTTCTGTACGTACAAAAAAAAACAAAAGTTAACAAAAAACGAAATCAAACAGAAACATTAACTTATCTTGAAGGCCCTAATTGAATTCTGAAAGAGGCAAGAAAGGCAGAACCTCTAGATTTTAGCTGCAAAACCAAAGGTGTAGAAATTGTAATGTCAGATTTTGGTTACCCCAGCTGGTTACCACTATACTGTTACCAGGCAGTCCGTATGCACTCGATGCTGCATGGCCAGAAGCAGCTCAATTCGCTCCTGCTTATGGTGCCTCAAACAATGACTTCTACTTACCAAAAGCTGGTTACCAGGTTACCGTGGATGTTACTGCTAGCTGGAAAGTACCAGGTTACTAATAGCTGGTTACAACTATCCGGTTACCAGGCAGTCGTGCTGCAGTCGATACTGCATGGCCAGAAGCAGTTCCACTCCCCCCGCTCCGCCTCCCACCACCACCACTCGCACACTGGAGCCCTGTTGTTGAACCAGAAGGTGTGGTGAGGGGTGGGGTTGGGTTTGGGCCGGGGAGAATGGGGAGCAGATGGAATGAATGCGAAAAAAGGCAGATGCTCCTAGGGGTGTGCTTGCTGGTGTGCAGGCGTGTTCGCAGGAAGAGAATGTCTGCTGGTGTGTGCGGGTCGCAGGGCCTCCCAGCGGCTGGTACACGAGTCAAAGAGCTTGACTGGTCCTATGAGGTGACTTTTGAGTCGACTCAAAGGTCAGCGCAGGGCCTCCCAGCGGCTGGTACACGAGTCAAAGAGCTTGACTGGTAGGGTATGATGGTGCTGGTGATGGTGGTGTTTGATACGGCCTGGTCTGATCTGATTCCTAAGATGCCCCTTGAGACCCTCTCCTACTGCTGCTACTCACAGCGGCGAGGGAGAGGATGCGTGACCGAAGGGCCTCCCAGCGGTGAGTGAAGGAGTCGATGGGCTTCACTGGGAGGGTGAGCTCTTTCGCACCGGGCACTGATTGCTGCTCAGATAGGGTGGAAGAGGGGGAAGATGGGAGTGGGCCGGAGAGTGGAAGGCACAAGGCACACTCCAATCCTTTGACTCCACTATACCCTTTGACTCCACCCACACCACACACAACCCAGCGGTGAGTGAAGGAGTCGATGGGCTTCCCTGGGAGGGTGAGCTCCTTGGCTCCTGGTACTGATTGCTGCTCACATGGGGTGGAAAAGGAGATGCGTGTTGGGCGAGTGCCATGGTGCAGTACGGTGATTGAGGTCCAGACCTGAGTCACAGCAGTGCGGCATTGGCTACTACCAACCAAGGAGTTCAGTGTGGTTACCAGAGTTGTGATCCCAATACCAATGGAAAGCACGTCATAACGGATGGGAGGACGCCCATCCGCCAGCACCACAGCTCGCTGCTCCAGGTCAAGTCAATGTCTGAGGCACAGCAGTGCAGCACAGGTTACCAGCGAGGTGATACCAGTGCATGCGTGATGTGACGGCATACCAGCGGGCTGATCCCAATATCGATCGATAGCACGTCGTAGCGGAGAGGAGGACTCCCATCCGCCAGCACCACAGCTCGCTGCTCCAGGTCCATGCCAGAGTGGCGCAGCAGTGCAGCAGAGGCTATCTATCAAGGATTTCAGAGTGGTTACCAGTGGTGTGATCCCGATGTCAATCGAGAGAACGTCATATTGGATGGGAGGGCGCCCATCCGCCAGCACCACAGCTCGCTGCTCCAAGTCGAGCCCAGAGGCACAGCAGTGCAGCAGTGGATACTACCAACCAGAGAGTTCAGTGTGGTTACCAGTGGTGTGATCCCAATATCAATCGACAGGACGTTGTAGTGAATGGGGGGACGCCCATCTGCCAGCACAACAGCTCGCCGCTCCAAGTCCAGGCCAGAGGCGCAGCAGTGCAGCAGAGGCTATCTATCAGGGAGTTGGGTGTGGTTACCAGTGGTGTGACGCCAGCACGTGAGGTGACGGCATACCAGGGGAGTGATCCCAATGTCAATGGACAGAACGTCATAGCGGATAGGAGGACGCCCATCTGCCAGCACCACTGCTCGCTGCTCCAGGTCGATGCCAGAGGCACAGCAGTGCAGCAGGCGGGCGTTGGAGAGTTGAGCCAAGGGGCGCAGGTCAATGTGACAGTCGTCGTACGTGTAGTGGCCTGGATGGGTGGAATGCGGTGCAATGCAGTGTAATGCAGTGTGGGAGGGATGGGAGAGGGTAGGACTAGCAGCAGACGAGCAGCATTGCAGCAGGAAAGCGCTGGTGAATTGAGCCAAGGGGTGCAGGTCAATGTGACAGTCGTCGTACGAGTAGTGGCCTGGGTGGGTGGGGGAGGGGAAAGGTAGGTCAATAGAGGAGGGTGTGCGCGTCTCACTCGACAAACGTCTGGAGGGGTGTCGGGGGGTGTCGGGGGTGTCGGGGGTGTCGGGGGTGTCGGGGGTGTCGGGGGTGTCGGGGGGAAGGTCTCACCAGCAACGAAGCCTGGCAGCATGCCGCTGTAGGGGGTGTGCACGTCCCACGTGACCAATGTGAGCCTGACACCTGGCATCGGCTTCATGGCGAAGCTCTTGAGCACCACCACGTGGCTGCACGTGGGGAGAGGGAGGTTGAGGGGAAGGGGGAGGGGGAGGGGGAGGGGGAGGGGGAGGGGGAGGGGGAGGGGGAGGGGGAGGGGGAGGGGGAGGGGGAGAGGGAGGGGAGAGCAAGCATGGCGGGGAGGGGAGAGGGGGGCCTACTGTGCTTCATGGCGAAGCTCTTAAGCCCTACCACGTGGCTGCACGTGGGGAGGGGGGGGGAGGAGGGGGAGGGGGAGAGCGAGCATGGCGGGGAGGGGGGAGGGGGGAAGGGGGGGGGGGTCTACTGTGCTTCATGGCAAAGATCTTGAGCACCACCACGTGGCTGCACGTGGGGAGGGGAGAGGTGGCGCATGGGAGACAAGGGGGAAAAGGGGGATGTTACCGCTCTGTGAACGGGCTTCATGGCGAAGCTCTTGAGCACCACCACGTGGCTGCACGTGGGGAGGGTGAGGGGGCGCATGGGAGAAAAGGGGGGGAAGGGGGGGACTGGGTGATACATAAGCACGGCTTTTGAGGCGCCTCAAAAGGAATGGGTGATACATAAGCACGGCTGGTTACCGCTCTGTGAACGGGCCTCATGGCAAGCTCTTGAGCACCACCGCGTGGCTGGCAGCATGCAGCGTGCATGGCGTGGGGAGAGAGGTGGGGAGAGGACGGAAGGGAAGAAATACGAGGAGATGGAGGCGAGATTGAGGAGGAGAGAGCCAAGAAAGCCTTGCTCTGAGGTGCTCTGGGATCAAGGAATGGATGCTACGTAAGAGAAATGAGTGGTGGAGAGAAGAAATGATTCGGAAAAGAAATGCTCTGGCACAGTTTAAGATGAGTAGTGAGAGCATGATGCCTCGAAGCTTCGAGGAAAGTGCACCTGTGACCTCCGCCAATAAGGACGAGATCCTTCACGACCATCGTGGGGCCGGCGGCGGCCATCGGACGGCTGCCGAGCAGCCTCGATAGCAGCGAGCCCATCGGCCGTTGGATTAACTAATGTTATTGGGACGACGCGCACGCGGAGCGCATTGACAAAATGGAGAATATACGGGAGGTTAATAGAGAAATACAAGTGCTCTCGTGTCAGGAATAAACCTGACGTCTTCTGGGAAGAACTGCTTGGTTGAAAAGGAATCTGCCAACTATCTACGGTATTCTCAGGGTTTGCCTTGTTGTCACCACTGACGTGTCGTCATCAGCACGAGAATTCGTTGTACTTGCCCGTTTCGACGTGAGCGTGTTTAGCAGGATTCGTTACTAGACACTGCACTTCAATTCTTGACAAATAATACTTCTTAGATTATCGAATTACCGCAATAATATGGATAGAGTATCAGAATTACAAGAGCCGCAGCAAAAAAAGGTGATCGCTGCTACCATATTTTTCTGAAAGCTTATTGTTTGAGAAGAAAATATTTGCAACGGACACATTCGAGCAAAAGCACAGTGACAGTGCTACTGGTTATAATCCATTCATTTACACAGAAATGTTGACTACATTCCAAATGGGTTGTGCATATCATCCAGCACACACCCACAAATGGCACGTTTGGATAGCGCGTCCCATCTCTTGTGCAAATGGTGTAGCATTGCAGTTTCAGTTCCCACACACCGCAATGGGGGGGCCATTATTTATTGGGTGGCACGTCGCATCTCATCTCATCTCCTGTACACCTGTGGGTGGCACCTCAGCCGAATGGCTGCCACGTCATCAGGAGTTGATCCCATGATAGTCTTGGGAGCAATCTGGAACACCAGAGGCCAGTACTTCCCTGTGACTGCAACAGAGTGCCGCAGAGAACAATAACGGGGATATGGCAAGGGGTAAGACATGTGATGAACGGGGGATACTCATGACAGGGTGAGAGACTCAGATGGACAGGTGGATAATGGAAACATGATGAAGTTGACTGATGAGGCGCCTCAAAGGAAGGCTTGGGATGGACAAGCGGGATAATGGTTGTAAGTGATGAGATATGCTGGTAATCATGTTAACAAGAGAGGGAAGCACGATCACCAGCACAAAGCAAGCAATCAAACCATCCAATTCCCGTACCAAAGAGGCGTCTCTGCTGTGCATCCCATGCAATGCCGTTCAGCACATCAAACTGCTGATTGGCCTTCACCTGCGCTGCCGCTAGCGCCCTGTGGCATGAGAAGAGGGAGAGAGAGGGTTTGGGAGAGGGAGAAGACAGAAATTGGTTGGTTACACAAGGACCAGACTGCACACAACACGTACACGGGCATCGGTTACACAGGAGCACTGCCGAAGGAGTTGATTACACAGCCCAGGCCTGCCTATTCAGTGCATGTTGCAACACTAACCACAGCACTGCACGTCCATCCAAGCTGCCAGCCCTGACACCATTCACTTTACAAACAGCTGCATGCCCAGTACAATTCACACACAAGCGCACTGCACGCACCACACCATTCACTTCAAGCTCAACTGCATGCCCAGTACAATTCGCACACATGCTGACTGCATGCTGGTCACAAGAACACAGCTCGCAGCAACCAGCGCTCACCGCAGGCGTTGCAGGTCCATCCACGCCGCCACTCGCCCTGACAACGGGTCTATCACTGCAATGCAATCCGTCTGAGGCAGCGAGCATGGTGGGGAGGGAAAGGGTGGAGGAGGCGGTTCAAGGGACGTCTGGGAAGTGATAGCAGGTCCACTGTTATGCGATCCGTCTGGGGCAGAGGGAAGGGTTGAAGGGAGTGTGCAGGAAAGGGTTAAACAGGGAACCAGGAAAAGGGGAGAGGATGAGAGGGGAAGGAGGGGTAGCGTGGGTTGGGGGTTGACAGGTGAGGCAGGGGGGACAACAAGACATGCGCTGACCCCTCACTTCCAACTTTTTTATCCCGACAGAGCAGCCGCCCATTTCATCATTCTCAAAACCATATCATTCCTTCCCACACCCCTTCCCGTCTTTCCTCCTTCCCCAGCACCTGCCACACGTTGGCATAGATACGTCCACCCCGCACTTCCAGCTCGTTGATGCCACCAGTGCCACCCACCCCCACCAACCCTAGCAACACTCCCATCCACCATCATGCACACATCATGTCCCTTCCCTCTAACAACTTCCCACCCCCCCTTCCCTTCCTCACCTGCCACACATTGGCATAGATAAGCCCACCCCGCACTTCCAACTCGTTGATCCATGCTATAGGCGTGCCACCATCCATCACCTTCACTTTATGCAGCGCTGAGATGGGTGGAGGGAGCAAGGGGGAGAAAGGCAAACGGGAGCGGTTGGAGGCAGGACAGGCGGGGAGCAGTGGGGGTGGGGCTGCCCCCGCCATCAGGCTGATCCCATCATCATTCATCATCACTGCACTTCCAGCTCGTTCATCCATGCTATAGGCGTGCCACCATCCATCACCTTAACCTTGTGCAGCGCTGATATGGGTGCGGGGAGTAGTGGGGAGGGGGGAAGGAGGGGAACGGGGAACGGGAAGGGGAGAGGATGAGAGCCGGACGGGAGGGGTGAAGATGCAGCAGGAGTGCCGCCATCAGTCACCTGTACCTTGTGTACCGCTGAGATGGGATGTGGGGAAGCTGGGAGGACGTTACTAACGCACTTACGAAGGTGGTTGCGCTGATGAAGTAGATGTAGGACGGAGCCAACCAGCAACGACTGGTTGTACGTTGACAGGCCGCATCCGTCACTAATTTGATGGCTCCTTCCACAACCTACAATGAATGAAGCTTGCTGCATTTTCGTGACCTACTTTTGAGGGTCTATGGACGCACTTTTAAAGGTGGTTGCGCTGATGAAGTAGATGTAGGAGGTGCCATCGGAGCCAACCAGCAGCAACTGGTTGTACGATAACAGGCCCCTCTTATCACTCATTTGGTGGCCCTTTCCACAACCTACCATGGCGCTTGCTGCACTTTCGTGACCGGATCATAAACTCACTCTTGAAGGTGGTTGCGCTGATGAAGTAGATGTAGGAGGTGCCATCGGAGCCAACCAGCAACGATTGGTTGTATGTAGATAGGCCCCACCCGTCCGTCATCTGGTGGCGGAAGCTGCCTGGAAGGAGCCGCGTGAGAGTAAGAGGGAAAGGGAGAAAGAGGGTCAAAGGGAGGAGGTTGGGTGAGGCGAGTCAGGACTACTTGGATACTCCGTGAGAACGTCAGCCCGTCAGAAAGAACATACTTGGATACTTGTGTAATTTGCGTTCACATCATGATGCTTACATCATGACTGCAATCCGCACATAACGTTTCCCACTTGTTCTCTCATGTTTGAGTCGGCTCAGAAAGAATTCCGCCCCATCACGGTTTGTGAACCCTCACGACTGCGCTATTGAAGTCATGAAATTTCTCAAAAGTGAACCGCTTCGTTTTGCCCTGTTCTCTCAATCGCTCACGCGTTAAATTCCTTATTAGTACATCTGGAAACTCACCAATCTTCTGCAGGCTTTTGCGGTTGTATATTGTCCCCGTTTTCACCTGCCACGCTAACTGAAACAGCCTGAGGGGACAGGCAACCAGTAACAAATGCAGGCAAAAGACAGAGGCAAAAGACAAAAGGTGTCAGACAGAGGGAAAAGACAGAGACAAAAGACCCAGGCAACATCAGCTCTTCATATACACCACACTTTCTGTCACTATGTAAGCCAAGCAATGACACTGGGTGGGTGGGTGATGGGTGCGTGCGTGGGTGGGTGGGTGGGGAGGGTAAGTGGGTGTTGAGGCGTATCATATCGCACCTGTTGTTGACAAGTGCAAGCCCTTCACTGAACACCTGCGCGCCCTGAGGCACTTGTTTTAGCACCTGCATCAAGGGTGGAGGGTGATGGGTGGGTGGGTGGGTGGGTGGGTGGGGTTTGTGAACTGAGCAACTTGTGTGGGTGTAGCTGCGATAAAAAAATCTCATATGCAGGCAGACACGGTAGACAGGTACAGAACTTGTGATATTCTCAACTTCATACCTACCCGAACGTATCCTTGTTAAAAACATTCCTACTTTAACATACCTTTCCTGTGGCGACATCAACTTCTCTCACAGTTGACTGCAGACAAAGAGGGGTTGAGAGGAAGAAACAAACACGCGATCAGGGACGAGAGAGGCAGAAACAGAAACGTGTTTGGAAATACGAACTCGAAGTGCACTTTTAGATATGTTTACAGATGTATCACGGAATCAGTGCTCCTTCATGTTATGCCGGTTCTGCGACCATTCTAAAGCGGGGATACCTGTCCACGCATCCCAGTGGATTCGTAGAAGATTCCTTCCCCGCTGCTTCTTCCTCCGCTCGCATTATGGCTCACGAACAACAAACCCTGTTTAGTGGTTGAGAAGAGCGCGGAGAAGGACAATGAAGAAAACTGTTTTAGGCCGACTCAATACGTATCCCCTTCCTACGCTCTGCAGAGGGTAAGAGAGTGTGCAGAGAACAAAAGAAGAAAGGTCTTGAGCCGACTCAATATTCCTAGACGGCGGCCAAATGGAATGAAGAAGACGAGCTACAAACGAGGGTAAGTACAGCGCTAGAATGAGAGCGACGGCTGACGTGTCACATGGATGCGACGGCACATGGTTACGGACCTCCGTGAAGGCTGACGTGTCATGCGGAAACGTCTTGATTAAATCGAATGTGAGAATATACGGCCAACCTGCATGCGCTAGTGGTAGCGCCGCGGTCAAGAGGAGGAAACCTAGACCGATGCAGCAACGATTTAAGAAGCTAGGCTCCATTTTCCAAAATCGAAGCAACTGAAGTCTCAGCCAGTATACTTCGCTAATCGCGTGGTTTCGCTAATGAGGATGACAGAGTGTGATAAACCGAAGCATTTTAGCAGCCAAATCTATGGCAAACACAAGCAGGGCTTCCAAAGGGTGCGTCAGACCCAGACGGAGTTCCCCAAGTTTGTTCGGTTGAGTACAATGCTGTGTGGTGTGGAGTAGTGCAATAAATCCACCGATTTAAACCGCTACGTACAGCAGTACCCACCATATTTCCACCGATTTTAACCGAATTCAAGGCAGTGGCGTTCAAGTTCCATCCTCCAAGTTCCATCCTCACCGCTCGACGTCAGGTAAAACTTGGGCGGTTGCGCCTCGGGCTGATCACTTTGGACGCAAGCTGGGTCGTCGTGAAATGCTGTATGCGAGCCGTCATTGGTCCTCCGAGGACGCAGAAAGTTGCGTGCCGGAACGGTGGTAAGGACGTATCTGAACCAAGGTGCGATATAGAGTTCCTTGGCACAAAATGGGAACCCCTCCGTCCGGGGAGCGTACACCTAGAGGTGTCCCTGGTCAATTTAACTGTTAGATGAAAAAACCTGCACTAGACATGGAATATGACATTTCATGTGCTTGCAGAGAGACCGGAGGATTGACTCTAAGTTTGTTAGCAGGAATTTATTTTTAGCAAACACATTATACTGGTAACACTTTCCACGCAGTTCTTGCTTTATTGTGCAAGTGTTTGTGCTTGCTCCATGAAATGCTCCTGGTAATAACTTAGGTGCCTTAACAGGTCCATTGAAATCTGCTCCCACACGTTTCAAACATCAGAACGCTTCCTTGCTCGTAATACCATTTTGAATATAAAGGGATAAGGCACGGCACTATGTTCTTTGGTTATTGATTGAAACTCACTTGCCATATTATAGGCGTATGCAGGCTGACAATTGTCCTTATCGGATCCTTCGTACCAAGTACGGTGGGCTACCACCAAGGTCATAACTAGCATTCATGCATGTCTGACTCAACGCATGTCGTTCAACCCCATTTAGTTGTTCAATTGAGAAAGCTTGCTTTCTGGTTATTGCAAGGCAACGTGCTTCATTTTAATTGGGTAATTACAACATTCTCGTCCAACTTGAGCATTACATAAAGATCAGCTAGGGGCAGGTGGGGGGGAAGCGGAACTGCAAAGTTCCGAAATGAAGACGTGGGTGGAGGCCAAATGGCCTCCAACCCTTGTTATATACTTGGGAACAAGCATTCGCAGTTGCCTTGCTTCACTACAGTCAGCTGCGCTTTCACAATCTTTATTTTTAGAAAGTGTTTCACACTTTCAAAAAATTTCATATTGAGAAAGCTTGCTTTCTGGTTATTGCAAGGCAACGTGCTTCATTTTAATTGGGTCTTCTGAGGCATGTGTGTGTCAAACATTATATATGTTGTGTTTGTTTAGGCTACAGTGGGTTAGCCTATAGGGGGTACACAATTCTAGGGTTAGGTACTTGTACTGATTTCACTGTTAGTTCAATCATTCCTGTCCGTTCATTCTGACATGGTATCAGAGCAGGTCCTTCACTAGGACCGTTTTAGGGCCCACCGCTACCTACCTACCTACCTACCGTGCGCCCTCGTGCGCCTCTTACTACCGTGCGCCCTCGTGCGCCTCTTACTACCGCGCGCCCTCGTGCGCCCTCGCGCCCTCGTGCGCCTCTTACTACCGCGCGCCCTCGTGCGCTCTTGCGCCCTCGTGCGCCTCTCCCTACCGCGCACGCACGGCCTGCTAGCCACCCGCGCGCGGCCCGCTTTCCGCGGCGTCGTCGCCAGCCCGCGGCGTCGTCGCCTGCCCGCGGCGTCGTCGCCTGCCCGCGACGTCGTCGCCTGCCCGCGGCGTCGTCGCCTGCCCTCGTCGCGTCGACCTGCCCGCGGCGTCGCCACCTGCCCGCCGCGTCGCCCTGCCCGCGGCGTCGCCACCTGCCCGCCGCGTCGACCTGCCCGCGGCGTCGCCACCTGCCCGCCGCGTCGACCTGCCCGCGGCGTCGCCACCTGCCCGCCGCGTCGCCCTGCTCGCGGCGTCGCCACCTACCCGCCGCGTCGCCCTGCCCGCGGCGTCGCCACCTGCCCGCCGCGTCGCCCTGACCTAATCCGCCTCTCGCCCCTGGAGCAGCCGCCACTGCAGCAGCAGCCCCTGGAGCAGCCGCCACTGCAGCAGCAGCCCCTGGAGCCGCCCGCCACTGCAGTAGCAGCCCCTGGAGCCGCCCGCCACTGCAGCAGCCCCCCCTGGAGCAGCCCGCACCTGCAGCAGCCGCCCCTGGCCCCTGGAGCCGCCGCCACTGCAGCAGCCGCCCCTGGCACCTGGAGCAGCTGCCGTCGCGGCCCGGCCTCGCCCTGCAGCAGCTGCCGCGGAGCTCCCTGCTGCGGCCCGGCCCAGCCCTGCAGTTGTAGCGGCCCCGCTGTCGCCACCGTCTTGCGCCTGCCGCGCCGACCACTGGTGAGCATTGCCCAGCACTGCTACCGCTGCTACTGCTGCTACTGCCTTTTCTACTCCCACTGCCACAGCTCCTGCTGTTACTACTGTTGCTGCCGCTACTGCTACTACTGCTGCTCCTGGCGTGGCCAGATGCAGCTCCAGGGCCGTGCGCGTGAGTCCCTCACGCCCCAGCAGCTTCGTGCGCGTGAGTGGTACGCTAGTTGGGGCTGTCGGGGTGGCCGTAGTGGTGGTCGCTCTGGAGTGGGTCGGTCGGGAGCTTCTGGTAGTGGACAGGTGCAGCTGCCGTGCCCTCCTTCGCCCCAGCTGCTTCGTGCGCGTGCGTGGTACGCTAGTTGGGGCTGTCGGGGTGGCCGTCGTGGTCGTCGCTCTGGAGTGCGTTGTTCGGGAGCATCTGGTAGTGGACAGGTGCAGCAGCAGTGTCCTCTTACGCTCCAGCGGGCCCGTGAGTGGTACGCCAGTTTGGGCTGTCGGGGTGGCCGTAGTGGTAGTCGCTCTGGCGTGCGTTGTTCGGGAGCATCTGGTAGTGGACAGGTGCAGCAGCAGTGTCCTCTTACGCTCCAGCGGGCTCGTGAGTGGTACGCGAGTTTGGGCTCTCGGGGTGGTGGTCGTGGTAGTCACTCTGGAGTGCGTCGTTCGGGAGCTTCTGGGCGCGGACCGGTGCAGCTGCCGTGTAGTGTGAGTGAGGCTGCCGCTCTAGGTGCTAGTGAGACCGCCACTGCAGGTGCTCGCGTGTCTGCCACCTCAGGTGATGGTGAGGCTGCTGCCCTAGGTGCTAGTGCGTCCGTGCCCGCTGGTACTGAGTCGACTGCAGCACTGCACACCTTCACACTGGACTCAGGTGCTTCTCGCTGTTTCTTTCGTGACCGCACTGTCCTTGAGCCACTCGCTCGGCCAGTTGCTGTCTCCCTCGCTGACCCCTCTGGGGGTCCGGTCGTTGCGACCTCCTCCACTGTCCTTCCTTGTCCTGCGGTCCCGTCAGGCACACTGTCAGGTCTCTACCTCCCCTCGTTCTCTACGAACTTGGTGGCGGGTAGTGCGCTCCAGGACAGGGGTGTCCACCAGTTCACCCCTGCTTACGAGCGCGTGACCCACTGCACGTGTGCTCGGACGGGCCGTCACCTGGCTACCTTCACTCGGCAGCCGGGGTCGGACCTGTACACACTGACCACTGAGTCCCCTCAGGTCGCTGCGTCCGCGTCTGCGTCTGCGTCAGGTCAGCTGTCCGCCCCCTGCTCGTGTCGCTCTCTGGCGCATGAGACTGTCCTCTGGCACCACCGCCTTGGTCACCCGTCTGTGCAGCGCCTTCGGGCCATGCACAAACGGGACCTTGTTGCTGGTCTTCCCAGGGTTCTCCCTCCCCTCCCACCCTCGCCTGCTCCTCCCTGTCTTCCCTGTGTCGAGGGGCGGCAGCGCGCCGCTCCTCACTCCTCCTCCTTCCCCCCGACGACTGCTCCTTTGCAGACGCTCCACTTGGACGTGTGGGGCCCAGCCCGCGTCCGTGGCCAGGGTCAGGAGAGGTACTTCCTGATTGTTGTTGACGACTTCTCGCGCTACACCACGGTCTTCCCCTTGCGCGCCAAGGGTGACGTCCCTGATGTCTTGATCCCTTGGATCCGCAGATCTCGTCTCCAGCTCAGTGAGCGTTTCCGCTTCGACTTCCCTGTCCTGCGTCTGCACTCTGACAGAGGTGGGGAGTTTTCCTCTGGCCTCTTGGAGGCCTTCTGTCAGCAGGAGGGCATTGAGCAGTCGTTCACACTTCCGGCCTCTCCACAGCAGAATGGGGTTGCTGAGCGCCGCATTGGCTTGGTCATGGAGGTCGCTCGTACCTCCTTGGTTCATGCGGTTGCCCCCCACTTTCTGTGGCCGTTTGCAGTCCGATACGCTGCGCATCAGCTCAACCTCTGGCCCCGTGTCTCCTTACCGGAGACTTCTCCGACACTGCGTTGGACGGGAGAGGCTGGCGATGCGTCGCGTTTTCGGGTCTGGGGATCTCGAGCTTTTGTTCGCGACACGTCCGCGGACAAGCTCTCCCGTCGCGCTGTCCCCTGTGTCTTCCTTGGCTTTGTCCCGGACGCGCCTGGTTGGCAGTTCTACCACGCCACCTCGCGTCGTGTCCTTGCCTCTCAGGACGTCACTTTTGACGAGTCCGTCCCCTACTACCGCCTCTTCCCCTACCGCACTGCCCCGCTCCCCCCCCGCCTCTCTTCCTCGCTCCAGGTGCTGAGGTACCAGACCCCCTCCCCCCTCAGGGTGCCGCTCCCTCAGGTGTGTCCCAGGTAGACCCGGTTGAGCCTGTCGAGGTAGCTGTTGACTCTCGTCCTGCTGGGGGTACTGAGCCTGCCCGTGAGGAGTCTGGGGGTGCGGAGCCTGGGGGTGCGGAGCCTGGAGGTGCTGAGCCTGGGAGTGCGGAGTCTGGAGGTGCTGCGTCTGGGGGTGCTGCGTCTGGAGGTGCTGAGCCTGGGGGTGCTGAGCCTGACCGTGCTGAGTCTGGGGGTGCGGAGCCTGGGGGTGCGGAGTC